TACTATTATTATATTGTTTTTTGAATCAGTACTTTTTAGTGTTATAAAAATTTATGTATTATTTATTTTTATTTATCTATTTAATAATTATGTTTGCGATAAATGCTGGATATTATGAAAAGTGAAATGACGGAAATTAATCGTGAAGTACGACATTGGCTTTTTTTATATCATAAGGTGGCAAACGAGCGAGCGGCCACCTGAAATCGCTGAAATATCGAAGTGACCATTGCCCATAGACATACGCAATTGCATATGCGTTGCCTACCTTTAATCGACATAGGAGAGGATGCACAGAAAGAAAATATTTTCCCTTCCCATGCATCCTCCCCCCATCCGGAAAATCCACTTCAACTTCCCATCCTTTCCTTAGAAGAAAAAGGGAGAAAGAGGAATAAATTAGTCCTCCGGGACACACACTCATCAGACGAAACGCGGAATTGCTTCCACTGCACACCTGTCTTCTGTGTGGTTGTATTATTTCACCGGGCGAGCCGGGCCAATTCTTGCGAAGATGTTAAAGCGGGCTCTACCACTATTAAAATTACCACCACTGCTTAATTGTTCAATCCCTTGTCAGACAGGCAGACAGGTCCGGTGATGGGTCTTTGAATATATTATAAGTCCACCACATCTAACAATGTCAAGACAATGTGGTTGAAATATGTCGCAGTACGTAACAAGTTGTTTCCAATTGAAGTGACGATTCAATTTACTATTACTAAGCTATGTAATCCAAGAGGTCGCATTAAAATTTTACAAGTAAACTTCTTTGACAACGATTCCTGTTTGACAGGTGGCGAGAACTATGACAGTTGTTGAATACATCTAATTTAATTATAAAATCAAACGTCTCCAATTTCAGTGTCCGTTTCTAGTTAGTTAACAAGGTAAATTAGTTTGACAGCCATTGATTTGTTTGTGTAAAATAGTACACGCACGTACTGAGTTTGATATTCATAGTTTGATGGTAATAGCAATCTATATATTACTAAGTAAGGTAATTAAAATGTTATATGTATTTCTTACTAATATTATAAATGCGAATGTTTAGATGTTTGAAGGTATTTCCTGAATGGATTAACGGATCTCGTTGAAATTTCGAATAGATATAGAACATAGTCTAGAAGGAAACATAGGCTACTTATTAAGTTTTTTTTTATTCCGCGCGGACGGAATCGCGGGTAACAGCTAGTAAGGTGTAAAAGACAAGCTTTAGGTATAATAAAATGTTAAACCAGAATGCTACGAAAACAGGAAAAGCGAAATGTAACCAATAAAAGCTTATTTTCGAGATTTATTTTTATTACTCTACAAAACTGAATATTATTTATTCCATTCACATAATTCAATTATTGGTTTCAAAAAACAGCACAAGAATAGTTAAGCGTAAAAAAAAAAACATCTTTATCTAATTTATAACTACTAGCTGTCGTCCGCGCGGGATGAAAAAGAAACTTAATTAGTAGCCTTTGTGTCCATCCAGACTATGCTCTACATCTCTGCCAAATTTGTGCTAAATCAATGCAGCCGTTCAAGAGGTATCTTCTTACAAATATCAAATCATCTTAACATTCGAGTTTTCATATTAGTAAAGTTTTGATTATTAAATTATTAAATCATCACTTTCTCAAAATTAATTTCAATATATAAGGAGAGTTTGAAACGAATTTGTACATAATACTTGAACTAGAGAAATACTTTAGTAAATAACTTTCCCACTCACTGCGCCTGAATCTTCTGAAGACGATGCACAAAGACGTTTTCGTCGGGTGCAGTGCAGTATGTTTGAGAATGTACGTGTATTATTGAGTTATAACTGCCAAGCTATTTAGCTACTAGATGACGGCGCGACTCCGTCCGCACGGAATTAAAAAGAAACTTAATAAGTAGCCAATATGTTCTTCCAGACTATGTTCTACATATAGCCGTTCCGAAGATACCTTTAAACATACATCCATCCATCTAATCATTCGCGTTTATAATATTATTAAGAAATAAGATTAACAAGAATACCTCAGTATTATAAAATCAATCGCTTCTAATTAATTCGATTTGAACTTCTTAGCGGTGACGTTGTTTTTGTTATTTATCGAGGATTTGGAGTAAAGTGTACTTCATTTTTTTTTAACTGTGTACTGCGAGCTCTAGCTATTAAAACTATTTATCACAACGTTACTTACTCTTTGATATTTGCTTGCGAAATATTACGAATTAGTCAAAATTATAATGTTAAGTTTTCTCTTAAATTGTCCGTTTCACTTAGCAGAAGACGTTATGTATCCTTCTATTGATCTTACAAAATTTTATAGACACGGCAAGTTCACTTTTCAATTATACATGAAGAATTAAACATTATTTAAATAAGAATAGAATGGAATATTTATTTATTGCCAAAAACAACCAAAAAATCTAAAACAAATTAGATTAATTAAATTAAGAATGTGACAAAAAAGGCTCACCGGGTGCCGGGATGGCCTTAACCATTCCTGCGCTGGTTTTCAGCTGGCCCCCTTGTTCTCACACCATTTACACTACACGACACTACACTAACAAAAAAAAACAGATAAAACGAAAAAAAAGCAAACACGACAATTAAACATTAAAGGATTTTGATTAATTTCTAAATAATATTTTAACAAAAAAAAATATAAAATTTGAGCTACAAATTAGTGATTAAAAGGATTACAAAAAATTTAAAAAAAAATAAAAGGTTCAACAGGTAAAAAAAATACGGTAAGGTTTATAGTTTACATGACAAATTGTTTTTTGATAAATTAAGTCTTAAATTTAGGGTATTAATCAAATTTGTGACTCTAGTAAAAATCTTTGACACCTTTTTTTTACGTTTTATAAGCTAGCGCTTGACCACGATCCCACCTGGAGACAGGGGAGTTTTGGTTGAAAGATGGTACGCGCTAGCTTAGTAAGTGCCTATTCACTCACACACCTTAATAAAGAATCAAATTGTAAACAATTTTATATTTACACTCTCTGTTAAAATAACAAAATCTGAAAATAATGTCATGAATTTATTATTTCACGTGTACACAATAAATCCGTTCTTATTATTTAGTATAAAAGTACCGGATATTAATTTCTGTTCCACTAAACTTGGAGAGATGTGCATCCGGAAAGTGAATACAATATTCAATGAATTCGTAATTGCCTTACGTTGCGGAAATTATGTTATACGAGTATTGAAATATTAATAATGTCTAATAGAAAAGGAATTATTCAACGAACAGGTAAACATTAAAATGTTCTTAAAAATCAGTAAAATATGGAAGAACATCATTTATTTAGAGAATTAATTACGACGCGAAAGAATTTTGATACAAAATATTTATTATCGTATTAAAACATATTTACGTGACACGATAATTTTATATATAAGATGTATAGAAATAATCAAATTGTTATTCCGTTTATTCTTTTTTTATGATAGAGATAAGATTTTTATTTTGTTTAAATTTTCGATATTGGAAACTACATAACAGTAGGTTTCCACAACCTTTTTATAAAATGCATATGTCCCATGTAACCCATTAAGGAACTCAATTGTTTTGGTACTTATATTTTTTAATAATTTATACGTATTACAAATTAAATTCACGTAATTTACAGGTAAATGTATTTCTTAATTTATTCTTGAACTGAGTTATTTGATCTGCTTCTAATGTTGATTGTTTGGCAGTAATTGACTATTTTAATTAAATTTCTGATGTCTAGATTTTTTTATGAGACTAGATCTTATTTCACGGACTTATATTATCTTCTTATATTTATAAGTTTAGGGTTTATTATTAAACTAGTTATCGCCCACGACTCCGTCCGAGAGATATCTTCAAAAACCCATCCATCCATCCACATCACATCCATCTAAATTCTAAACATTCGCAATTGTAATATTATTATAGTAAATTAAATAAAAAGCAGCTCTTCAAGACATAAATTCTAAAAAAAAACCAAAATGAATAAATAGTATCCTATGTCCATCTCCTGGCTGCAAGCTACCTCCTCACCAATTTTCAGTCATATCGGTAAAGTCGTTCTTGAGTTATAAATAGTGTAACTAACATGACTTTCTTTTATATATAGATAGATTTGGATGGCTTTTGTCATTAGATTTGTCATATTTTTTGCATGTTTATTTTTTCTTTTTTCTTTCCAGTTAAACTATATTTTAGAGTTTAAATATTTTCTGTTTAGGAATAATATTTCAATAAAAAATATATATTTTTAAATAATTCATACGCGTGTAGCCAACATTACGAAAAAAAAACATAAAATAAGGTAAAATAATCTTTGCGCAGTAATTTTCTATCTCCAGTTACTTAACTCGTTCTTGTTATCCGACCCAACAATTTTATCCTAGTTAATTAAAACTCACGTGTCGAAGTTATTTTTAAACTTTGTAACTTTATAAGTAACCAGAAGTACTACGTATTGCCTGTTTCTCGCTATTATGACTTAACTTACTAATTTTACTGATATTATAAATGTTTGGATGGATGGATGTTTGAAGATATCTCCATAAGGGCTGTATGGATTTCGCTGAAATTTGTTATAGATGTAGAACATAGTCTGGAAGGAAATAAAGGCCACTAATTAAGCTTTTAAACAGCTAGTGACAGTAAATTACATTTTGGAACTAAAATGGAAGATTTTTTATATAAAATACCAACTATTTCGTTAATATTCAACACAAAAAAAACATAAATTTTTCCGCAACCATCGCAACAACGTGTTGCGATTGTATTTCTTAGTATTGAAAAATTATGTTTTTGCTGCAGAAAATTCATTGGTTATTTCTTTTGCAGATGCAGGGAGCGTGTAACACAATCAAAACATTCAAACCATCGAGGTTGTATACTGAATAAAATGAGTTCGGAGAAAATCGATTTGCTAACGTTGGCACTACTGAATTAATCATGACGTCATATCCGGATCAATTCAATGATTCAATAGTGAGGGGAGTTGATGACTTCCCACTGCTGATGCCGCGTTGGGGTTACGTGATGTCTGCTTTTGTGCTGTTCCTGATTGGGTTCTTCGGTTTTTTCTTGAATCTCCTCGTCATCATATTGATGTATAAGGATAGACAGGTAAGAACAGACAGACTTTATTTTTATTTATCTAATTTTTCAAATTAATATTTCAGAGTATGCGTGACATCGTCTTCTATTATGAATTTTATTTTGTTAAATGAGAAAAATAAAGGTTAATTTGAATGTTATAGAATTTAAAAAATAAACAGGTTTTCCTTTACAAATCTAACGGGTTAAATTCATTTTCCATTTCAAATTTAAGTCAAAAAAAATACTTTTTTACTTTTTAAATATTAATAAATACTTACATTAGCATGATGTGTAAACACGTGAAGAATTTTATATTGCTCAACTGACTCCTAAGGAATGCTTAATCTGTCTGCAAAATACGAAAAGTATTTCGTATTCAACCTTACTTTTTTGAACGCGAATTCTCGGTGGGCACGACACGACATAGGTTTCCTTGGATCGTTACACTGACACTCGGGCCCCGCCCTTTGTACTCAAAAGGTATCAACGTTCCACACAGAATACTAAAGGTACTGTTTTAGATATTTACTCGGACTTATGTAACAGTAGAACATAACATATTTCTCCATAGAGTAAAAACTTTATAGCTTATCCAAAATATTATTAATGATAATAAGCAACCAAACTTTGAAGAACTTCGACCAACATTTCAAGAAGCTCTCGCTAAACAGTTGGATGCAAAAGGCAGTTAACCGCGCGCATCGTGAGAAGGTTCCTGTCTCTTCGGCCCGCATCACTGGTTGTTTGAGTCATGGGATTTCGCAGCCGGTGGTGCTCTATTTTTATTATAATATTTTTTTAATTTTATATATGAAATGTATACTATATTAAAAATATGATAAATAATTGAATACGCAAATAATAATAATAAAACAAATGATGTCAGACGCATCCATACAAAAAAAAAACACATTCATGCCTATTAATATTTCTCTTCCTTCATTCCTTTCTATCGTTAACAAGATCTTCTTTTTCAACATTGCTACGATGTAATTTTACTACATGTTTTGTAACTATGGGTTGCCTCTGCTGTGATATTTGTATCAACATGTATATTCATCCCTTACTTTCATTTTGATAAAACAGAGATAACAATATGTGATGGCTTTCAAAAAATTTTATCAGCTGTTGAGCATATGGACATTACTTAACAAGGTTGAGGTTGTATTATGGCCAATTATTAACTTCAATAATTCCAAACTGAAATACTTCGGATTAAAGACATGCGTCTTTATATTGGTGCAGTTGTATGGTAAATTCGGGCTTCAAAAAGTGATTTACTAAACAAATTGTTCACGTTTGTTACAGCTTTGGACGCCATTGAATATAATCCTATTCAATTTGGTATGTTCCGACTTCTCAGTATCGGTGTTGGGTAATCCATTCACGCTGATTTCGGCATTGTTCCACCGATGGATATTTGGACGGACTATGTGCGTGCTGTATGGATTTTTCATGGCCCTGTTAGGTGAATATTCAAAAGAAACATTGCTACCATTTTATAAAACTCAAATATTATACAAAATTTTACTTAAATTACAGTTGTTATAAATATATAGCTATTGACCTTCAATGTCATCAGTGTATTTAAAAAAAATAGAAGCAGATTTTCAATCTTATGATGCCTAAATTTAAAACTTAAGCATGCTTCTTCACAATCACAGTATTAAAATAAAAATTAAGTAAATTGAAATTCCATTTTAATCAAGTTCTTTTCTCCTTCAGGAATTACCTCAATAACAACATTAACAGTGATATCATTTGAACGATACATAATGGTGACAAGACCGCTTCGGTCACGACGTCTTAGTCCTAAAGGAGCGGCAGGATTAGTTGTGTTCATATGGGCCTATTCCTTGGCGCTCACCACACCACCTCTGATGGGCTGGGGTAGTTACGTTAACGAGGCTGCCAATATAAGGTAAATCGACTTGGTATTTTGTAAATTCAAGAAATTACGATATGATATATTTAATTTTTACATATATCAGAAATCAATCTTACGTGGAATTTACTCTTTGATATTATTTTGATTGAGGCTGTCGTAGATGCCTGAGCGGACAGTAATCGATACTTCTGACATGAAGGTGAAACATCAACCATAATAATATAACGTATTTTTTTATCTATTATTTAGAGATAAATGATCTTTAAACCTTGATTTTTTACTTTCTCATCGTTGACTTTTTCGTAATATTTGTTATAATTACTGTCGCCCGCGACTCCGTCCACACAAGATTAATAAAATCTTAATTAGTAACCTATGTGTTCTTCCAGACTATGTTCTACATCTATGCCAAATTTCAATGAGATCCGTTCAGCCATTTTGGTAATACACATCCACCCATCTAAACATTCGCATTTATAATATTAGTATGATTACTTTTAATATTTTTTGTTAACAGTTGCTCAGTGAACTGGCACGAACAGTCAGTGAACACACTCACTTATATTCTGTTTCTCTTCGCGATGGGTCAAATAGTCCCGCTGGCGGTCATTACCTTTAGCTATATTAACATCATAAGGACTTTGAAAAAGGTAATTAATTTACTTAATGAATTATGTACAGTCAGCCGTAATAATATGTATATTAATATGGGTCCAGAAACTTGTATATGCCTACGGCTTCAAAAAATATGTATGCTCGTATCCGTACCTATGCCTACAATAGTGAATTCGTACAAATAATAAATAGATGTACAAGTATTTTTAAAACTAAAGTTTCTAAAGCTTTGTAAATATTCTTGCAGCTGACTGTACATGTCATATATGAATTCTCTAAGAACTACTGTAACTAGTATATATATTAGTATTAATATAATGGCAATTGACAGAACTCTCAACGACTGGGGCGCGTGAGTCGCGCGGAGTCTCGCGCCACTGCGATGGTCTTCATAATGATTGTAGCGTTCACAGTTGCATGGACGCCGTATTCACTGTTCGCTTTGTTGGAACAATTCGCGGAACAAGGGATCGTAAGTAATTATATTAGTGTAATTAAGTACTTATATTATTGACTAAAGTGATGATAACAGCTCTGCAAAGAGCATGCATGGATCATATTATTTGCAGTTTATTCAAGAACGAGGCCTTGACATTTTTAACAAAGTAAATTTATTTTTATTTTTATTTAAATTCGTGAGATACAGTGAAATACCATTGTATAGACCTGAGGCAATGCGACTAATAATTTTGCACACAAATTTTGTTTACGATATTTAGGGTTTAAGTTTTGTATATGAATTAGAATTAAATGAATAATTAAAATTTCATATTATATTAATGAAACTGACATATTTGGGTTAAAATAACAGAATATTTTAGTAGTGAGATTATTTGGTTACAGATATCTCCGGGCGTCGGTGTTATTCCAGCTCTGATTGCAAAAAGTTCAATATGTTACGACCCTCTTATTTATGTTGGAATGAATACACAGGTTAGCAACATTTTTACATTTTTCGTGTCCTAATTTTTATACAGTATCACTATTATTATTAATGCTAAGATAACTATTATTATTCCATTTTAAACTATTAATTCTGAATTTAATTTTCTGGTTTTTGCTCAAGATTTTTTAAAAATGTTTTACTGTTTTACTGCTTATTCTATACTTTCCCTTACGTGTGTGAGCTAACTGTACTTTAAATAATTAAATTGCATCAAATATTTAACATTTTTAAAAATGATATGGGAAAAAACACAAATTTGACATTTTATTTGAGTCCCACTTTTCCAGTTTCGTCAATCCATCAGGAGATACTTCAGTTCGATCGGCAGAGGGAATTCAGAAACTGGAAAGCCATGCCACAATACAATATTGACACAAAAATTATCAGCCGTCAACGAAATAACTATACGATATAATACATCTGAATCGAATTTATTAAATTCACCCCAAAAGAATGTAAAAAGTCAAGTAATACCGGAAAATAGAAATGATGCTACAAGAAGTGATATCAACAATAGATGTTACTCAAAAATTCTCGAACTACCGACAATTCCTGAAACCAAAACACCATCGGATACAGAAAAATCTGGTGATACTGTATGTGATGATGATACTAGTACTGGTCAAATAAAAGTAGACAATTTCGAACCATGTAAATTAGCAGACCATTCATTGATTTTAACTATAGTTGATTCTGAAGGATTTTTTCTAACACAAGCTGTCAAACGTAACAATAATATTGAAGATCTTTGGAAAATATGGAGTATTGATGGTTTAGAAATACATTCAACAGATGCTCTACGTTTAGATGACAAACTTCAAATAACAAGAACCTTACAAACTATGAAGCACAGTTATTCGTTAGATCTTAGCTGTGTGCAAGAAAAGGGACGAATATTCTCGGTGAAATCAAAACAAGAATCTTATGTCCCTGAAAAAAGTTTGCCCATGGATATGATTGATACCAAACATCAACCTAATTATAAGAATTGTATATGTTTAAGTGATAGAAAATACATCGACGATATAAGTTTGTAGTTAACATACGACATGACAAGCGTGAAGTGGCAATTCCGCGTCCCGGAGGCCTAATTTAGTCATCTTTCCCTTCCCACCCTTTTTCTTGTAAGGAAAGGAAGGGAAGTGGTAGTGGACTTTCTGGATGAGAGGGTGCATGGGAAGAGAAAAATATTTTCTTTCTGTGCATCCTCTCCTCCGTCGATTAAAGGTAGGCAACGCATATGCAATTGCGTATGTCTATGGGCAACGGTTACTTCGCTATTTCAGAGATTTCAGGTGGCCGGCCGCTCATTTGCCACCTTATGATATAAAAAAAACATGAGTTAGTATGAACAACGATGTTTTTAACACGATTTTTGTGATCCGATCCCAGATTCTAGAATTAACTGATGGTGCTGCATTCTAAATAATCGTTAAATATAATATTTATATATATATATCTAAAAGAGTACAAGTTAATTGTTAAGGTAAGTATATAATTAATGTTGTTACTGAAGGTACATGAAATAAAATATCATAAATCTTTGTAAACCTCAATTGTAGGAATTTGAATTTTGAATTTAGAACGGACTTATCGCACCACATGATAAGAAGTCCGGTGACATCACCAACTAATTTCGGACTCGTCGGGGGTCCATCTTCGAGGTAAATGTTTATTTAGGGGTATTCACGGTCGCGTCGCGTCTTACACTGCGGGCTAAGGTGCATAGCGCGCGACTCGGGATTGCGGTGTTTGCGCCCTGACGGCGATGTCGACGAGTCCAAAATTGATGAGTCACTGTTATTGTTCATAAGTCAGTTAAGTCTTTGCTAATTATTTTTTAATGTCTCACGAAGGTTTAAACAATTGAATTAAATATCTTCTACAAGTTCCCAAATGTTATATGCACAAAAATATATATTTTGGAATCAAGAACATCGTCAAGGGTCTGATTGGTGGACAGTATCTAGATTACCGTAGCGTTAAATTATCTTATCCTTGCATAAAAAAACGAATTTAGAAAGTGTATAGAGTGAAGGAATCTATTCGAAATATGGGTAAATATTAATTATAGTTATATGTTTCTAGTCAAAGTACTAAATAAGACGTTTAATTGGTAAACTTTAGCTAAAGTTTATCACGTTTGTTGTGATTGCATATCTAAAATATATTTTTATAAACGATTCAAAGTGTAAGCTATTGTTAAATCTACAGATATGTTAATTATAAACTGATATATTATATAAACACGGCTAAACACTCACGTATATTCGTCCGGTGGCGGCCCGTCGCTCACGGGCCGCGTTCGTGAAATAATACCAGTACCACTCATCCTGATGAAGGGCCCCCGATAGGCTCGAAACTAGTCGGTGCCGCCACCGGACAAATATACGTGAGTGTTTAGCCGTGTTTATATATCAGTTTAGTATAATGTCTCACGAAAGTTTGAATAACATGTTAATTAAGTGTACTTTAGTACACTAAATACCTTCAATGTATGCTAAGCGAGCTCCTTAGTGTAGATGTAAGTGGTAATTAACCATTATCCTCGAGTGCGGCTTAAGATGTATGTAAATATATATTTTTTTAATTTTCTAAACGCATTCGTTTCCACTTTTAAGCTTATCTTAATTAACCATACGTAAGTGTTTACTAAAGTTGTAAATGAATTTTAATTTGCGTGTAAATTTTTGGAAAATAGTTAGCATTAAGAAAATGTACATATTTAAATAAGTCTAATTATTTAATAATTAATAATATTATGAAGATTATTATTAATAAGAATGTACTAAATTTTGTCCTTAATTATTTGATACTATTAAAAAAAATATTTTTTTGCATTTAGATTTAAATTTAATAAAATATTTCGACAGTTTTCATATTATTTTAACCTTTAACGATTTCATCGTATATTTAATCATACTTCTTACTAATACTTTAAATGGAAATGGATGGATGGATTTTAGTTTGCAGGTATCTCCAGAACGGCTGAACGAATCTCAATGAAATTTGACATACATACAGAACTAAGTCTGGAAAGACACATAGGGTACTAAGTTTTTTTTTTTAATTCCGTGCGGACGGAGTCGCTGGTGACAGCTATCGATCTATAAAACACTCAGGAATTAAAAAGCCAGTTTTCTTAATAGCTTGGCAAAATAGAGTCAGTGTGTTCTGCTTCTTCTTGTTGTCGAGACCCTTTCTATTTTTTAACAATTCTATAGGAATAAATCAAGCGAATTATAATTATTTTTTCTTGGTACTTTAATAAATGAAATTAAGTTGACCCAATTCTCTTTTGTTTCAAATAATTAAACGACAAAGACGTCAGGAGTCCTAGATTGTCGGTTGGGGAATACTTAAAACATTTCCAACCTCAGATGTCAGATGTCTTAAAACTATTTGAATAGATTACTTTTAATTATAATAGCTATAGCGATATTAAAGGATTACTTCGATACTGTAAGTCTATTTTCTTTTAAAATGCTTGCAAAGTATTAGTAACTAAATATGATGTTTAATCCCTAATACTTGGACCCTTAATAACACCAAGCCCTTACAGAGACTAATAGTAGTGGCGTTAGGGTAGGGTCAGTTGGGGCGACCGCCCAGGGCGCCGAGCATAAGAGGGCGCCTCAGGCGCCAGAGTCGCGAATAATGGGGCGCCTGCGGTGCCCTTAAGAAGAGCTATCTTTGAGAGATTTCCTTCGACACAAAAACAAGAGGGCGCCGTAAAAATCTCGCCCAGGGCGTCGGTCATGCTCAAACCGGCCCTGTAGACATGTGCTAAAGTATTGTTAAATAAGTTGGAATATGCAAATATAAAAAATCAGTATTCTAATGCTGATTACATAATAATTTTACTTTTATTTCTGATAATATATCGATAATACACATCTGTGAATCATAAATCCTTTATTTCAGCGTCCGCGTGGCATTCCGCCCATGAATATTTTATTGACGAGAAAAAATATTCGAAAGGCACCGCAGAAAATATCGTAACGATTTTATTTATTTGGTTAACGCGGAAACGATCTTTTCTCTTCCACTCGGTTTGTACGATGTTTACTAAGTTTATGTTAAAATTTCATATGAAAAAGTGTGATATATAAATATGTACTTTCGATCGAGTGAACAGAAAATTATTTTGATTACTATTAAATGGTAAACTATATAAATTGAGACATTTATTAATTACAATCTTTTGGCGCGATTCGCGCTTACATAGTAAAGTTAAGTATCAGAATGAATAGTGAGGGGACATAGATGTCGACATTTAAGTAAGGCTAGTGTTGTGCTGTACTGCACAGTGTCAGTTTTTCTTCCTAACAATACATAAATTAATATACTAGTAACTAGCAGTCGCCTTTTATCTAAAGGGCGTTGACCTTTATTTAAATTGATTTTTTATAATATTTATTCATTATGAGATGTTTATTTTTCAAAGACATTAAATTAATCAAATATTATAAATTCGAATGTTGAGATGGATGGATGTTTGATTAAAGGTATCTCCAGAACGACTGAACAGATCTCGATGAAATTTGTCATACATATAGAACATAGTCTGTAAGAACACATAGGCTACTAATTATATTTTTAAATCCGCGTGGACGGAGTCGAGGGCGACCGCTAGTATTTCATAATTCCGTATTGAATTATTTGTTTGTCCTTTTTTATGACTTCTGGTGATATATTACATTTATTGGAAAAGTTTTATCCGTTTATTTACAAAAGAAAATATAACAAGATCGTTAACATGACAAAATGTCTTTGTGACAATGTTACATTACTCGTAGTTAGCATATTATTGGAACTACTATTTACTTCTTTAGAAGACACAAAAGTATATTTTTTATTTAATACTAGCTGTCGCCCGCGACTGCGTCCGCGTGAATATATAAAAAACTTACTTAGTGTAGCCTATGTTTTCTTTCAGACTGTGTTCTATACGTATGCCAAATGTAATCGAGATCCGTTCAGCCGTTCTAGAGATATCTTCAAACACCCATCTATCCATCCACATCATATCCATCTAAACATTCGCAATTGTAATATTAGTAAGTTAAATAAAAAGCAGCTCTTCAAGGCATACATTAAAAAAAGGGAATAAATAAAATCCTATATCCATCTCCTGGCTCTAAGCTTCCTCCTCACCAATTTTCAGCCATATCGGTAAAGCCGTTCTTGAGTTATAAATAGTGTAACTAACACGAATTTCTTTTATATATAGATTATAAGGAAATACAAACATTTTAACACGCAAACCTTCAAGGGATAAATGATTTTACTATATCTATATTTTTATTAGTATTTCAATCAAACTACGCTTTTTCAGATTCTTTCAAGTAAAATGATATAAAAACGGCTAAACACTCACGTATACACCGGAGGCGGCAACAACTAGTTTCGAGCCCATCGGGGGCCCTTCATCAGGATGAGTGGTACTGGTATTATTTCGCAGACGCGGCCCGTTGCTTACTCTCCTGATGAAGGGCCCCCGATGGGCTCGAAACTAGTCGGTGCCGCCACCGGACGTATATACGTAAGTGTTTAGCCATTTTTATATCAGTTTATTATAATGTCTCACGAAAGTTTGAATAATTCTTTCAAGTAATAATTACTAAAGGCTCCAAGTTACTTCTGACTGTTTTCAGGAGCAATAAACAACCAAGTCTTTACGTAAACTTAAGTTAATACTAGCTGTGGACCGCGACTTAGTCTGCGAGGAATTTCAAAAATAATCAGTAGCCTATGTAGTCTTCTAGAATTGGCTCTACATCTATGCCAAGTTTTATCTAGATCCATTAAGCCGTTTTGGAGATACCTTCTAAGAAACATCCATCCATCCATCTATCTAAAGATTAGCATTTATATTACTAGTAAAATTTCCAGTCCATTATCTATAATTAAAGCAATTCAGACAAAATTTCGACAAATTATTAGATTTGGGTAAATATTAATGCGTTAAAAAGAATCTTTTCAAATCTATTTGTATTAGTCAATTTATATACGAAAATGAAATAAGTTATTTAATAATAAACAATAGTCAACAAGATATAAATATACTAAAGCATCCTAAACTCCAAAAAGCATTAGAAACTCGTATAAAAGCCACTCGGAAACTATGTCAATTATTCCAACCGCTCTGACAATTCGTTGAACGTGTGCCTAATTTATGCGACCTATTATTTAAAATTTGTGGCTTGAAAATATATAATTTTAATATTAAATATAATTGACATTTTAAAGATACTAAATTACAAAATTAGCGTGGGCAGGCCTCCCGCAAGATGGACCGATGACCTGGTCAAGATTGCGGGAGCGACCTGGATGCAGGTAGCACAGGACCGGTCATCGTGGCGATCTTTGGGGGAGGCCTATGCCCAGCAGTGGGTGACTTACGGCTGAGAGAGAAGAAGAAGAAGAAATTGCAAAAATAACATTTTTTTATAAGAGTAAGGCGCAAAAGAAGAGCGGGAACACCGAGATGTTCATCGTTCATACTATTACTAAATCCCTACTTATTAATATTGACATTATAAATATGAAATTTTGGATGGACGGATGAATTTTATTGCATATGTCCAACATATGTCCAAATAGGTTTAACTGATATCTATGAAATTTGGAACATGAGTATATATGGTCTGGAAGAAAGCAAGCTACTTACTAAAAGCAATATAAAAATTGTCTTATATCGAATTTATAAAAACTTTTTAATGTACTATATGCCTTCGTCAAGTTACAAAATGATAAAATAAATGTAGACAGAGCAATAGATAACAACAAGAAACTTATTGTAGACATAAAATTTAAAGAGATTCATAAAAGTATGCCGCATTTGTTTTTGATAGCGTCGCGTAACAGTTTGCACTAACGAGCGCGGAATTTTGATACGAAAACATCACACCTTGATGTGTGTATCCATTAATTGTCTATGAACAGTGCGTACTACATCGTATTCGTGTTAAGAGTCTGTAATTACTTATGCAATACAAATAAATTTACAAAAGATTGTCGAATTATTTCCCAATAAAACAAAAATGGCGCCTTCCTGGCTCCATGCGACATTAGCAAGCTCGGTCTGGTTTTTACGACATGACGTCGTTCATTTTAGTGTTCTTAATACAGAAGCTTCTTTGTGCTGAAATTAGTTTTTTACTGTATTATTCTTTTCTTATTTAGTTTCACTTTTTTATCATCGTTATGCGTTTATATAAATTATGTAATCATTTAGACTATAATACCGTAATAAACGTATTAAGTTCAAAGATATAACAATTCTGTTGATTAGTGGATAACAAGGCTTTGAGGCTAAAAGTTAACAAGCAAATTCAACTGCTGCTTTACCGATGATTAATAGGTGTTAAATTGGCTTTATACCTTAGAACCGTGTTGCCAAGCGCGGCCAGTTGAGTGCGGATTGTTGCTCATTGGAAAAGGGGACTATGAGTTCATGAATATAATTTCTATGCGAAATCATCAAAAGGTAACATGGTATCAAATTATTTGAAAAGAAGGTGAATAATACTATTTACCCTGCTAAGTATAAAATTATGCACTGTTATAATCAGAGATAACCCAAAAGGGGAAGGGTAAAAGAGAAAATGTGTGGTAAAGATGGTATAACACTAGTGAGACATCGTGTTTTTATAATTGATAAAGATTAGAATAAAAAATAAACAATTTGTAGAATAGAGAAATGAAACAATACAGAGTAATAATATAATTTAATTCAAACGTGTAAAGTTAAATTTATCTTATAAATATTAAAATACAATTATAACTATTGATTTAATAATTAAATATTAAAAATTCTGTGGATCATTTGTATAAATATTTTAAATTGATATAAAAATGAGATTATTTACGTAATAACGATAGTAATTCGTTTTACATTAATATACTTATGTTATTTTAAACGTAATAAAATCAGAATGATTTGTAAAATTGTGTTCTAACTGAGACAGAAAAGAGACTAACTCTTAGAGAGATTAAGAGAATATACTAAGAGAGAGAGACTTCTCAGTCTTTGTTCTCTCGAACATACCAATACTTTTTGCGATAGTTAACGAGTGACTTGACAATGTTACTGCATAATTGTATGGATGACAGACAATGAATATATTAGGAATATGGAATATTTTGGCTTATATATAAATTTGATAAAAACATTTGATTACAATATCAATTGACCTAATTTATAGTCATTTTAATATAATTCAAAAATTATTAATAAGAGTGAAAAGTAAATTTTACACTACGACTAATAATTTAATAATAAAAAGCATTAAATCTTATCATTAATAATAAATATTAGAATAAAAATATATTTTTCTTAGTAAACTTGTCTTCAATGTGCGTGTAAATTTTTTTATCAATATTTTACAGTAAATATTTATGTAATTCTTATCGATCTTCTCAAAAATAATTTAGAATATCATCCCTATATGTTTTTGACACTTTTATCCTATCACAGATTCATAAAGACTCTAATGAATAGAAAAACCATAGAAAATACCTTTCCTTGTTTGCCTTTTGGACTAACCAATGACGGTCAATATCCCGCTTATTTCGAAATTCAAATGTTCAAATTATTAATTAACTTGATTCTTCATTCCCTTGGTTGTCCTGATTTTCACATAAATAAGTTTTTATATTGTCATGTTTAACATTTTGCTCAAAAAACTTACTCACCACTGTTCCCATAAAACTTTTAGGTGCAAAATTCGATTCGAATTTAGTCTCAATAGAAAATTTTCGTCGTTTCCCTTCATGTGATATACCACCTAAATCTAGAGAACAGCTGTGTTTTATTGTTTTCGTACGTTTAAAACTATGGTCAGTGTTGTCTGTTTTTTTGACTGCAGGAAACTGTTCCTCGTAAAGTTGTTTGTCATTTTCTCGTTTGGGCACTTTTGTAAAGCAAAGTTTGTTAGAATCGACTATCGTAAGAATAGGAGAGTGATCGTTTAATTTGCAAGACTCTCCAAATATTTCTAGTTTTCTATTACTGTTACTTGTGTCATCATCAAAAATAGTTTCACCCGATTTTTCTGCATCCGATACGGTCATTTTTTCATCTATCAAACATAATTTGGGAACTTTGTGAATATGTTTATTACCTTTATCATTTATTGTTATGTTAATTTTACCATCCAAATGCATTTCGCTTTTACTTATTTTTTTGGGTGTATTCAAAAGACTAGTTTCTGAGGAGTTTTGTAAAGTTGTATCTTTGAACACAGATAATTTATGGCTCGGTGATAAAAACGTGTTATTGTATCCTCTATCAGTTTCAGAGTTTCTACATTTAGTCGGCATACTAAAAACACGTTTGATGGACTGGCGGAACTGTGGAAATAAAGCTAGTGTCTATTCATTTAAAAACAAACAATACTTATTTTAGAATGCTATACTAATTTAACAGTGGTAGAGCCCGCTTTAACATCTTCCCACGAATCGGCCCGGCTCGCCCGGTGAAATACCACGACCACACAGAAGACAGGCGTCAAGTGGAAGCAATTCCGCGTTTCGTTTGATGAGTGTGCGTCCCGGAGGCCTAATTTAGTCCTCTTTCCCTTCCCACACTTTTTCTTATAAGGATAGGATGGGAAGTGGAAGTGGACTTTCCGGATGAGAGGATGCATGGGAAGGGAAAATATTTTCTTTACGTGTATCGATTATCGATTAAAGGTAGGCAAGGCATATGCAATTTCGTATGTCTACAATACTATGGCAACGGTCACTTCGCTATTTCAGTGATTTCAGGTAACCGCTCGCTCGTTTGCCACCTTATTATATATGAAAAAAAAACTAACCTGTGTATTCATGCCGACGTAGATTAGAGGATCGTAGCAAATAGAGCTTTTTGCTACTAATGCTGGTATAACTCCAGCACCGGGCGAGACCTGTTTAATTATTAAAATTGCAATTTATTAAAGTAGCTTAAGGTTTTGTCTTCAACTTTGTAACTGCACATTCATAGTCTGGAGTATCTTTAAAGAAAAAAAAACTTGATAATATAGTTGACGGTTCTGTTCTACTCACTATGCCTTCTGTAGCAAACTGTTCCATTAAAGCAAAAAGAGAATAAGGTGTCCAAGATACAGTGAATGATATAATCATTAGCAAAACCATTGCAGTAGCACGAGCTTCCGCGCGATTCACACGTCCGAGTCGTTGTGAGTTCTGGAACAAGTATTAAATTATCATAATTTCATTAAATGAATGCTTTAACGAATTGAAATCTAGCTTTGACATATACTAAAAAAGTGAGAATTAAAATAAATTTTCTCGAATTGTACAGTATATAATCCGTGGATGAAATTCCATGGAATATGACAAAATAATGTATCAAATTTATGAGGTATAAATCCGAAAAGGAAAAAGGGAAAGTAATCTGATTTATTTAATAAAAAACATTATAGAATTTTGTAATACATTTGGCTTGGGATTTATGAAAGTATCCCATTTTTATGCATAATTTGATTAAGAATAGTTTTGTTTTAGTTTTAAATTGGACCAACAATTTTTGACTTTATTATATTTGATTGTAGTTAAAAATACAAATATTTATATAATATATTATAATTACCTTTCTCATAGTCCTTATGATATTGACGTAACTGAACGTAATGATGGCGAACGGCAGAATCTGACCCATTGCGAAGAGGAAGAGAATATATGTTAGGGTGTTGAAAGATTGTTCATGCCAATTCACCGAGCAACTGGTAAAAGAAAATATTATTGAATGACCATAACAATGTAATTCGTATCACAAAATTACAATTTCATGACTAAAATTAAATTGCAAATTAACAAACATCCATCCATCCTATACATCTAAATTTTCGCATCTATAAAATTAGTAAGATTTGATTCCTACCTGATATTAGCCGCTTCATTTTCATAGTTACCCCAACCGAAGAGTGGTGGCATTGTTAGAGCCAAAGCGTATGCCCATATAAAAACAATCGACAGTACCGCACCCTTTGAAGTAAGATGCCTAGAGCTAAAGGGCTTCGTTACCATCATATACCGCTCAAAGGATATCACTGTCAGGGTCGTGATTGAGGTTATACCTGAAGACAAAGGACAGAGTTCGAATTACACAAGTAAATATCAAAGATTTTTGCTTATTTCTACCACATAGTTAAGTCAAATACCTAACGAAAATAGATTTAGTTATATTATGTTTGTTTTAATTTCAGTTACCCCATAGAGTTGTATTTCGCAACAATTTTTAAGTATTTATATAACAAACATATTTTTAACACGTTAAATGCCACTCCGGTAACCGGAGACCGGATCCCTGCTTGCATTTAAGCGCTGCATAGGACTTGTGACCTCATAATTTTTTTTTTATAACATCTGCGGAACATGGCTTCTGATTGGGGCCTAGACTAGATGTATTTTGAAGATTTGACATTATGCATCTATTTCCAGCAAAAAGTTATGATTTTTTTTTATTTCTACTATGGCGTTTAACGTGTTAACTCCAATATAATTTCTTATAGGGAAAGAACCGTGTTTTTTATTAAAGATAAAAATGTACTAGAAAATTGTAGGAATATATGGAAATATGTGGAGCAATGTTTCAAAGCGTTAAAATAGAAAATACTAACCTAATAATGCCATGAAGAATCCATAGAGCACGCATAGAGTATGGCCGAATATCCAGTGATGGAATAGAGCAGATATCAATGTAAAAGGATTTCCCAAAAGTGACACGGAGAAATCAGAGCAAACTAAATTAAACAATATTATGTTCAACGGCGTCCACAGCTGTAAATAGAATAACATCTGTGTAGTGTTTTAATGTACGAATAAAATAAAGAAAAATATTAAATGAATTCTTATTTATTAAGAAATTATTTCGTTTTTAATTTAAAAAAACGATTATCCTATAGTATAATGGTAGAATAACAAAGCAATTTTATTTTGCAAAAAAAAATCCAATAATAATCCTGCAGCACATTAAAAATAAATTCAAAATAATCTTACGGATTTGTTGCAGTTTCTCTAAGATTAAAAATAAAAATTATATCAAGATGGAACATTTAAAGAAATAAAACTCTTACCTGCCGGTCTTTGAACATCAGCAAAATAACCATAAGATTCAGGAAGAATCCAAAAAATCCGATGAGAAACAAAACAAAAGCGGAGGCAACGTAACCCCATCTAGGCATCAAAAGAGGAAACTCTTCATATGTAGTCCGGATCACCGTGTCGTTAAATTGTTCCAAATGTAACGTCATTATCACATACTTATTTATATCACTTTTTAGTACAAATTACAGCGTTTATATTTTCATTGGTCGCACAGTGGCTCCATCTGTAAACAAATCTGCTTATAATATTAACCTATAGGATGTTCAAAATTTGTAATTTTTTCCTGTCAAAAACTTACAAATTAATATTGTCATGGACAAAGACTGTATACAAATTGGGAGACACAATTACTGTTATTATTCATATTAAAACAGTTCAAATGAAATGTAATTTTTAATTAAAAAGGAAATTAAAATTGAAGCGTGAAATGCCTTCGTTTGTTTAATTTAACATCCTCGTTTGTTAATTAATGTGTATATTATTTTCTTTTAAAATCACTGCGGCCTCGTTCTGCCAATTAACGTGTATATTTAAAAAAGAAACAAAATAAATAATAAAATTACACGAGTCTGTTGGATCATAATGCAATAAACTTTTCTTATTATTAAAAACAAATTAATGCCGGATTTCACTTTACATACATTTTACTTTAATTGGTATTCTTAATATTACTTGAATGTTTGGATGGATGGATAGATGTTTGTTTGAAGGTATCTCCAGAACGGCTGCATGGATCTCGCTGAAATTTGGCATAGATATAGAACATAGCTTGGAAAAACACATAGGCAACTTATTAAGTTTTTTTTTCTCCGCGCGGACGATGTCGCGGACGACACCTAGTATGATATTAGTCATTGCAGTTTAAACCTATATTACCATTTGAAAGTGACTAACACAGATCTGTTTGACAAAATTATTTTCATAAAGATATGAGGCAAAATAAAAGCTTTGTGACTAAATTATTATAAATAAAATATACGAGAATTATATCACAATTCTTCGTAATAAGGCTTCGAAGCTTTTCAAAATAAGGGAAACATTTTGAAAGAAAACATTTTTAAAACTCGATTCTGGTGTTACTAACTGGTATTGTTTTAGTTTAATTTATACCAGAAGTAATGAAAGTGATATTGGAATTTGGATGATTACAAAGTTGGAGGGAGAGTGAAGAAGAGTGATGGATTGTGTGAAAGAGGATGCTTAGATTTGATATTGATGTATGGAACAGTTCACTTTGCCAGTCCTATGTATGTAGAAGGAATGGATGATGACTAAAAACAAATTGTTTAAAATAATATGAGTACGATAACTTACGCGTGCATAAAGAATTAATCTTTATGATAACTTTTGTCGATGCGATTGTACAAAACTACACAGGATGTTAGAATTTTCTTTCTTGGAGTTATATTTTAAGGGGTATAAATGGATTAATATTACTAAACTTAACAGTATAATTTCTATTGATTAATAAACGAAATATGAACACGACTATATTTAAAAATTAAATGTAGAACTATCTTACGTTCCGGGATTCGAACCTCAATTGCCTAACTATTGAGTTCCTGCTTAAAAATGAATCTCTGTTAAATTTTAATTATTATACGTTAATAGACTCTAAACCAACGCAATAAGAATGATTTTTCTTTCGTCACAAAATGATAATAAAGTTGAAATTTATCAAGCACGATAAATATATATTTATTCAAAATTTATATTGTCTGAATAAAAATCCCTAATAATTTTTACCACAGATGAACTCCAAATAGGATTTTTAAAAGTTTAAATGTAAATTAGTATTTTTTTAACTTTCTAAATACTGACTAATTAAGTACGTACCATAAAATAGTTAACGGATATAAATTATAGTAAGTACGAAGATAAGATTCCACTTCGCGATATGTCGGTTCGTTCACAACTCTCTTCGACCGCATCCAGGGGGATACTAAACTTAAAGTCCCGACACAACCTTTATATAGGAAACCGCTTCAACCTGTTGCAATCAAGGATAAAATTGGACTTACATTGGTAACTTTTAATTGGCCTTTTTATAAGCTTCTTTAACTTTTCTCTGACGTTTTCGAATTTAAATTGCCAACGAACCAATACAAAAGGGACTAAATGAAGTAACAAAACGATATTAACAAATTTTAAACAACTTAAGGAATATTACGAAAACTTAATTAACTTATAATTTTTTTTTTTACCTATTATTGGTACAAACAAACTTATTAATAAAAAAAAACAAATCTAAATTGATAAGATTACGAAATCAATTATTAACTAATACATGACATTCTCTCACAAAATAGAGACAAATCTAATCATATGAAATAAATTTGAGTGTCTGTATGTAATATCACGCAAAAATCATACGTCATTCAAAATGTGTTGGTATTGCTGATAACAATAAACCAATTTTTAAATATATGTCTGTATGTCTGACCGTAAGCCGTGCCGGGTAATCAGGGTAACGGCTGGACTGATTTTGACGGGACATTGATGGGAAGGTATCTGATCCATGAGCGAGTCACTCAGGCTACATTTTTTTTAATTTCCGTGATGATAAAGTCGGGGGCAGCCGCTAGTATGAAATAATACTAAGCCTAGACATTTCGAATAATCAGTGTTTGTTTAGGACACCCTGTTTTCTTTTCTGAGTAAATGTTATGAAGACATATTTTTAGAGGCATCGTGTAAACAAACATATTAATACTGCAATAATAATTTTAATATAAATAAATAGAATTTTGTAGCATATTATTTATTATAATACAACAAAACTTCTCTAACGCGTCAGTTTGTTTTTGCAAATCCAAAAACTAAAATCATTTCCAATAAAAATAACAAAAAAATAAATTGACCGGATTACATCAAGATTTTTTTTTCGATTTTTAGGTCTTGCATTTAGTCTTGTAGTAGCTCGTTTTTGTTAAAAAAAAAATAATTAAAAAAAGTCAAACTGACTTTCATTGTTGCTATAATAACATCCAATCAGAGAACGCGAACAAACGAAGGCTTCATTATGAATAAGTTGAATAATGGCTGGAAACAATTTTCCAATTCCTTGAATACAATATATCTACATTATAAAATTGGAATGACTGTATATCAAATACAAAAAACACATTTTGTGAACATGATGTATATGTGTTAATAAGGAAAATCGAATTTGTAAAATATTAGTCTGTCTCTCTGTCTGTCTGTACATTTTTTTTATATCATAAGGTGGCAAACGAGCGAGCGGCCACCTGAAATCGCTGAAATAGCGAAGTGACCGTTGCCCGTAGACATACGCAATTGCATATGCGTTGCCTACCTTTAATCGACGGAGGAGAGGATGCACAGAAAGAAAATATTTTATGGGAAGGCCATGCATCCTCTCATCCGGAAAGTCCACTTCCTCTTCCCATCCTTTCCTTATAAGAAAAAGGGTGGGAAGGGAAAGAGAACTAAATTAGGCCTCCGGGCCGCAATCTGCAAGTCCGCATTACAAGGTCAATCTAGACATGACTTTTACTGGATAGTAACTTATGTGTGCGTCAGTAACTTGCGCTATTTATTTTTAAATTTCAAGCCGACAAATTCGCGGGCTGCCGCTAGTGTAGTATTGAACAGAATCTGTGCCAAACAACGTTTTGAAAGACAATAGACTATTATAGCTCTAAAGAAAACAAAGCTTTAGATTTTAGTATTTTAGGTTAATTTAAACATTAAAGGATATTTTCATATAACTGAAAATTGGTAGGCATGTTCGTAAGACTTTATAAGTAAACTCTGAAAGGTCCCCAATTATTTACACGGTGTTACTTTAGACTGATTTTTTGATAGCCTATCATTTCTCCGCAAAACGTAAAGCGTCGGTAAAAATTAAATTTTTGAGACTGAATTTATAACAAATCCGGTTCGATGGGTACTTTTCAAAGTGCACGTATTATAGTGGTTGGAAAATTCCTACAATGTTTCATCTGGATGCGAATTATGGTAGCTTAAAGATAAGATGTGCGATTATTTTTGGTACTGTGTACCATTCAAATTGTATGATTTTCAGGGTTCCGTACCTCATAGGAAAAATACGGAACTTTGTTGTCCGTCCGTCTGTCTGTCTTGGCCCTTTTTCTCAGAAAACGCGTGAACGTATCATGCTGGAATTTATATCAAATACTCAGGTCTGCGGTCACTAGGTGCTGTGAAAAAATAAAACTTCTAAGTCAACGCAGTCAAAAGATGCAACCGTTTATGTCGCACCCAATTTTTTTTTTAATTCTATGGCATTTGTTTTCACAAATCTGATAGTCACTTTTTCAAATAATTTTGTATTTTTCTAATCATCAATTTCACAAAGATAATATTACAAATTGTAACAAAATACGTATCGAATACCAACAAGTAAATTAATTCTACCGTGAAAAGATAAGAAAGTATCCAATATTTTTAAATTAATAAAATTTGATTTTATAAATTTATTTCATTCTTGTAATTGAATAATACGAATCGGATATATTTTAAAACAATATTAAAACCAGGAACACAATATTTATAATATTAATTTTCGATGTAATATATTCTCAAATAACAAATGACCTTGTAAAATAAACCTCGTAAAAATAATAATACAATTGCTTATTCTGATTAATAAACAAAAAAAAATATTTTAAACAGTACAATAACATAAAAACTTTGGATAGTCCTTTGAGCTTTTAGTAAAACTACAAAATGAACAAAGGATGTTTTTACATACATATGTTATAAAAATTTAAAACAGAAATAAAACGTTTTTAATTTTATTTCAGTGTAACCTTGTCGGTTTGATGTTGGTTAGTTTTTCTTTTTTGCAGTACAATGAAACTATAGGAGAGGTAAGGAAAAAAACGAATAAAATATTTAAAATATAGCAGTATACCTTTTAAAAAGTATTTAAAAACAAAGAGTAAATAAACGCTATACACGACGTTGTAGGACTAGCGATAATTTGTTTTATCTTTTTTGGCAAGAGTTTATTGATGCATGTTGCATATGATAAGGAACTTTAAGTGTGGAGAGTCCCTTCTAGTTATAAATCCATATGGATGGATCCAAATCCATATCTGCAAGAATAAGTGAGTTTTTTAATTCAAAATATAACAGATTTTTAACAACTGTAGATATATTATTGTGGTAGAGCCCGCTTTAACATCTTCGCACGAATTGGCCCGGCTCACCCGGTGAAATACCACGACCACACAGAAGACAGTCGTGAAGTGGAAGCAATTCTGCGTTTCGTCTGATGAGTGTGCGTTCCGGACGCCTAATTTAGTTCTCTTTCCCTTCCCACCCTTTTCTTATAAGGAAAGGATGCGAAGTGGAAGTGGACTTTCCGGATGAGAGGATGCATGGAAAGGGAAAATATTTTCTATCTGTGCATCCTCTCCTCCGTCGTTTAAAGGTAGGCAACGCATATACAATTGCGTATGTCTATGGGCAACGGTCACTTCGCTATTTCAGCGATTTCATGTGGCCGCTCGCTCGTTTGCCAAAAAAAATATATTTATATATAAGATCAATTTATATATTTTAATCTCGTCAGCTTTAGCCAGAGAGTTATCGTTTGTTAACGAATTTAATCTGTAAAAATCCAATCAACTGAACAAAACTCTTATGTTGAGCTTTCCCTCGTTTTAATATAAATGGAGAGCAAATGTCAAGGACCAGGTATCAACTGAAAATATGTAAGTATTTATTTTTTCAATCAAAACTTTTTTAACTATCACTAGAAATCATAACCAAAACGACGACACTCTGTTAAGAATACAACACGGCAATTACTAAATGCCTTAATAGTATTACAATATCTATAATATAAAAATGAATCGCAAAAGGTGGTAAGCGCATAACTCAACAATGCCTGGATCAATTTGGCCAATTGAGAAAAATTCGAATAATTTCCGGGAACTAATTAAGTTTTTTTTCATTTCACACGGTCGGAGTCGCGGGCGACAGCTAATTATAGATGAAAATGTGTGCATGGACGTTTGTCATTACGTATTTTCAGAACGGCTCAACGGAGATGTGAAACATAGTCTGGCTACTAATTATTCTTTCTAGATTATTACATTATTCATTTAACAGTGGTAGAGCCCGCTTTAACATCTTCGCACGAATTGGCCCGGCTCGCCCGGTGAAATACCACGACCACACAGAAGACAGGCGTCAAGTGGAAGCAATTCCCCGTTTCGTTTGATGAGTGTGCGTCCCGGAGGTCTAATTTAGTCCTATTTCCCTTCCCACCCTATTTCTCATAAGGAAGAGATGGGAAGTGGAGGTGGACTTTCCGGATGAGAGGATACATGGAAGGGGAAAATGTTTTCTTTCTGTGCGTCCTCTCCGTCGATTAGAGGTAGGCCGCGCATATGCATTTGCGTATGTCTATGGGCAACGGGCACTTCGCTATTTCAGCGATTTCACGTGGCCGCTCGCTCGTTTGCCACATGATGATATAAAAAAATTCAAGTCATGAGCAAAAGCTGGTATTTAAAAATTGTACAATTCCGTCAGAAATAAATCTCTAAGAAAAATTGTTTAGATAACAAACCCATCGTCTTTTTTCTATTCCTTTGAGACAGTTAAGCAATCACTGAAACAACCACTTTTCCTTTTAGTTTCACATCAAATGCCTTTGACGTCAGTTACTTAAAAGTTTTAACTTTATTCCTCGTGCTCATTTCAAAGGTATCTTATGTTACAAAGAATTCAATTTAAGTATGTTTGCAGTTTTAAAGTACTCTCTATATGTAAGCATTGTTAGAAATCCCGGGAGAGCGTTGGTAGCGCAGTGGTTAAACAGTTGATTGTAACCTACGCGTTTGGGTTGGATTCCGATAGTTGGTTGATTGATTTTAGTGTGTAAGTCAACCAACTCTCACTGTGTGGTTGACTAAAACCCACGCATTACTTAGGGTAGCACAGTGATGTAATCTGCACATATCTGCGAAGAAATTCAAAGATATGTGTGAAGTCAATCCGCACTACACCAGCGTGGTATACTATGGCCTAGTCATCCTAACTTAAGGCTCCAAGCCCCTCAGTGGTTACGTATAGTGAGCTTATGATGATGACATAGCGGGGATAGAACCTAGACGTTTCAACAACTGCTCCTCTGACGCTCTCTCGATCTGTCATTTTTTAATGATCTACATGAAATTCTATTATAATGTCAAAGAATATATTTTATCTACAAATCAAGAAATAAGTCAAACTCAGGGGGTGGAAACTTAGAAGAAGGACGATTTGTATGGAAAGTGGCGCCATCTTTTAAATCTTGGTAATCATCATTTCATCTCTACTTTGTGTCATCGAGACATTCATGTGTCATCAAACCGCTACGTTTTTTCGTATTTCTATTTCTGTTCTTGTATTCTTAGTTAAATGTTGTTTCATTGATTTTGTTTTTAATTAAAATGTGTTTTCGTGAAAAATGACGCTGTACGCAACTGTGTTTTATATGGACTGATTATGGTAAGTTACAATTCAATAAAAAATTTCATGTTTTTCCCATACGTCAGACTCATTTAAACATTTAAATATTTTCGTATTTTGGTGTAGTTTTTAGCACCACAGTGATTTATCCTTTCCGGTTATCATATTGAATGGTGCCCTACTTCTAATTCATTTTACATATCAGTTCCTATACTTGATAGGAAATCACATTCTGTTTGTTTGTTGTAGGTGCACATATACACGGTTTCCCTCTTCCTGAGAGACGGTCAGTGATGTTCAGAAAATGTGTGCCAATCACTGGAATTATAGAGCCATAAACTGATGTGTCTGAAATTAGTAGGTGGGTCCATGTGTGTATATGTAAAAAATATATTTTTTTATTTGTAATTTTTTATTGTAAAGAAAAATTTGCTTGCCTATGTTGTAAGAGAATATGTTCAGAGTGTTTAAACTCGCAAATAACTACAAATTGCCAGTTGCCAGCTTGCATATGACTGAAAATATTTTGGGGTTTGGTTTTAATTACAGGGTATGCATTCTTTTGTGACCGCGCTATACTATTTATTACCGTAAATGTAATTTTCAAATATATATATTAAAAATTAAAATATTGAGCTGATATCTTGAAAGTCATTGATGTATATGTACTTGCATAGATTTAAAATTAAGTTTTGTAGAAATATAATAAATAATGTACAAAAATATAAAAATATTTTGTTTTTATTTCCCCAATAATAATAGGATCATTTTAATAGAGGTATTTCATAGAAGGCTACTTGATATCGGCTCACTATATTAATAACTACATAAGTGGGTATATTATTTTTGAACATTGATTTAATGTCAATTTTAACTTTATTAGATTCCCACTTATTAGTTATTATTATAGTGAGCTAAATAAGCGTGCCTACGTATATAGGTACCAAAAAAAAAAATTAGTTCAGCGATTATACGCATGGAGCGCCACAATCGCCGTGGATCCACGACTTCGTGCGAGTTGCCCCTCTTTCTATAGTATACTTATTATACTCTTTGGTCAAACTGACAGTTTTATAAATTGAAGCAGTATTTTATGTTAACATATATTTATAAATTATTTGTTACGAAATGACTGCTTTGGGAGATCTTCCTGAAGTGATGTCGTTTTTTGGCACAGACCTTAAAACTGGTTCGTTAATAATCGCTGCACTTGGCATTGTAAGAACTTTTTATAAATATATAAAATATCAATAATAAACACAGTAAATAAGTAGAAATAGATTTAAAAAACACAATGTTTAACCCATTTTGAGTCCCTTTTTTATTTTATAGCTAAGTACATGTGTTTGTAGATAAAAAAACTCAAGGAAAAACTAGATAGAGCAGCAAAGAAAGAAATTCTACTTGAATTATGATATAAATAAATATACTCATTCCTGATATTTCATCAAATGAATTTAAAATCACATGAAATTAGACAAAAGCATTGGAACTTTTGAACTTGTGTATTTGTGGCCCTTACTTTTAACTTTGTACTCGCCCAAGGGCTAGTTGTGAAAGGATTCTGTACAATGCCTGTTAAGGGAATAACATAAATTTCTACGAAACAACGATGATAATTGAACGAGAAACCGCAAAGGGCATCTCTGAATTTTTGAAGGCCGCAAATAACTTACGTGTACGGCATTTCAAATTGTAATATATTAAATGAATCAAGAGAAAGTGGCTTTTTAAATGAACATTTCATTGGATTGTTAGTTTTCGACTACTTTAAAAGTTGAAAATAATTGTAACTTATGTTTTATACATGATTTAATTTTCATACATACTTTTTTAAATATAAAAACTACTTTTAATACTCACTGCGAAGGTACAACGGCCCAATGTAGTATTTACCAACTCCAGTTGTCTTTTGGATCTCGCGGAGATCCTCCACGGCGTCTTTCCAGCGATATCTAGGCCAGCCGACGTCTTTGTGACCAATCGGAGTTCTGGGATACGTTCTTTTGACTTCATCCCTTTCTCAGCAATTGGCCTGTCCGATAAAGTCTTCATAGATATAAGTGTTTCGCCTACAAGCTTCTCTTTCTTTTTTCTATAGTTACTTTTAATTAATATTGTAATTTATTTCATAATAATTTTCAGGTGCATCCGATGGCGTTTGGATGTTCATTTTTCATGCCACTAAGCTACTTACTGGTCACCATTTGGCTGCTAGTTGCCTGTTACTTTGCTGCGAGTGTCTGTTTGTTTTTTGGTCTTAATACGGTATTTATTCTTTTTTATATAAATTAGGTATTCTTAATTTTTATTATAAATAAATATTTAAAAATACGAATAATAATTTGAAAGGATGTAACACTTATTATTATGAAATATAAACATATAAGATTTCATAATTTCATTGGACCAACATAAAATTGAATTTTAACTATAATATAAAACTCAATATAAGCAAGAAACTATCAACAATTTCATTTGATCGTAGTTAAGAACGTAGAACAAGAAAAGCAAGCAACTATGCAAGGAAAAGTTCAAGAGTTGGGCAAAGTTAATTATATGTCTAATTTCAGAATGACACATTCCTGATCGCACTTTGGATATGGTACGCGGTTATCTTCGTGGTGGTTATGTTAATGATGATGATCCTACTCGCCCTGGTGTACACATCACGTCGTCAGAGGAGTAGAGTATTAGTTGTTATACTAGGAATGCTTTGGTACATACGTGAGTTTCATATAAATAATTTCATCATCATCATCATCAGCTCACTAAACGTCCCCACCGAGGTGCTCGGAGCCTACCATAACTTAAGGATGATTAGGCCATAGTCAACCACGCTGGCCAAGTGCGGGTTGGTTGACTTCACACATATCTTTGAATTAGTTCTCAGATATGTGCAGGTTGCATCACAATGTTTTCCTTCACCGTAAGAACAGAGGATAAATGTACATATGTAAATCGGAAATCGAAAAACACATTGGTACATGGCGGGATTCGAACCCAGGACCTGCAGATTGCAAGTCAAGTGCTTGACCACTGAGCCACCGACGCTCCAATACATAATTTACGCGTAAGGAAAAGTGTTAGCGGATCACCAGATGTTGTAACCACTCGATCATCGAAATAATAGCTTCCAGACTCATTTAGACGAAACACAGAATTTATTTTACTTTTTGGGATAACACTATAAATCACACAAAATAATTGCTTTATTAAATCTTTCTTAAAAATAGATACAAGCACATAATTTGTGTTTTTTAAATTACGAGTAGTCTACTTTGGAGATAACATCAATGTCATATCCATACTTTTGGTGTATTTTCATTTTGTTAACAAATTGTATTATCGTTTCATAAAACCTAATAAAATTATTTAATTTGTTACAGTTACAGTATATTTCATCCTGGTAGTGAACAGTCATCGAAATGTTTTATTAAAAGAACAAAACTTAGACGAAAAAATTACTGATAAGAAGTTTTAAAATATAGTTTAAAAAAAATTATAGTCTGTATATGAATCGATCTTTATTTTATTATAACTGTCAACCAACGACACCATCCGCGCGTAATTAAAAAAATATGCCTATGTATTCTCCCAGACTATGTTCTACATCTATGCCAAGTTTCAGCGAGATCCATTCAACCATTTACATGGAAAAAAAGAAAAGGGCTGTTTTTAAGGTTTTCCCGGTAATTATTCGAATTTTCCTCCCCTTTTAAACCCTCCCTAGACCTCCACGAACATTTCAAGACCAAGATAAGATAAATCCGTTTAGCCGTTATCGAGTTTTAGTGAGACTAACGAACAGCAATTGATTTTTATATACATAGATAAATTTTAACACCACAAATCACAGCAAAACATCGTAGACAACAAGTAAGTCAAGGAAGAAATGTTCACGAACCCCAGACTGGAGAAATACATCTTAAGTAAAAGGATTTTAAAAGTTAAGTTAAGAGTAATATCGTATTTATTAAATTTACAAATATTATAAACAGTTCAGTGCTTAATCTTTATCTGTTGCAATATCCTTAGTTCCATCTTTAGTGATTGCATTTTCCTTAGCACTATCTTTAGGGGGTGGAATAATAAGTACTCTTTTCTGTTTCTTCATCTCTAACCAATATCCAAATACAACGAAGATAAAATATATCAGTACAGCTGTAAGAAATATCAACAATTTATTTTAATTGTCTATGATAAAAGAACAGCAACGGAACAAATAATGCAGAAGGCAAATATTTAATTGTTGCTATTCGATTAGAAGACAAAATGAAGACAAGTGCTACTTATTTCCTAAGTTAAAAAAAATGTTTATTTTAGCAAAAAAAAAGTTTATCTTACGAAGATTCTATTGGGATTAGACCTTTCTAGCTCAGATCTGACGGAATTTTCAACATAATTAGTAACCTTGGTCATAAAATAGAAGTGTGCAGCTAGAGATGCGTAGCTAGCATAGTCCAAAAGGATCAAATGAGCTCAGGATGTCTTTAATCATCATCATCAGCTCACTATACGTCCCCACCGAGGGGCACGGAGCCTACCCTAAGTTGAGGGTGATTAGGCCATAGTCAACCACGCTGGCCAAGTGCGGGTTGGTTGACTTCACACATATCTTTGAATTTCTTCTCAGATATGAGCAGGTTGCATCACGATGTTTTCCTTCACCGTAAGAACGTCGGATAAATGTACATATGTAAATCGGAAATCGAAAAAACACATTGGTACATGGCGGGATTCGAACCCAGGACCTGCAAATTGCAAGTCAAGGGCTTGACCACTGAGCCACCGACGCTCTGTCTTTAATAAATGAAGTATACTAACCAAATCCTATGAATTCAATGAGCAGACAGAGCGTGCCTCCAGTCTTGCCCACTTCCATATCGTGTACTATCATCAAGGAGACGACGAACACAAACAGTTTGACAAGCCACACGCTGCTTACAACCACCCATACTATGACAACCGTTGACCTTTTCTATCGACATTAAAATTATAATTAAAAATATGATTTTTGTATATCATAGGGTTGGAAATGAGCAAACGGCCACCTGAACTCGCAAAAGTTTGTAAAAAGACCGTTGCCCATAGACATTCGCAATTGTAGATGCATTGCATGGGACGCACAGGAATAGAATAGTTCCCCCTTCCTATGCATCCCCTCCCCTGTCAATTCCACTTCCTCATCCCGTTCTTTTTTAAGAAAAGCGTGGGAAGGGAAAGCAAACTAGAATAAGGCCTCCGGCACCACTCATGGGTTTGGTACACTGATTTGAAAGAACGAAGTGTCGTAAGGGTCTTGTATAAGTCAACAGAAGTCGCAAAAAGAATCCCACAAAATTAAAAATATATTTACATGTAATCGACTATATAGTTCATTGTAACATTATATTAAATAGTGATAAGAATTAAAACAAGTACCTTCTTCACTGCCCAAATAAGCCAAATATTAACCAAAATCATAAGAAGATTGTACGTCATTGCTGAAATACCAAATCCGTACGCCGTTCTTAAGACAAACTTATCACATTCTACTCCTTGCACTGTTATTACTTGAATTATTATAGATGTGCCGGTTAACAAAGCTAAACACTGAAATTGTAATTAACAGTAATAATATGCGGCAAATTCATAACCATTAACAAATGTATAAATCGAAATAGAGCGTCGGCAGCTCATGGGTTAAGTCCTGGGTTCAAATACCGCTATGTACCAATGTGTTTTTCAATTTAAATGGAAGGTAAGGAAAACATCGTGATGTAATTTACACATATCTGTGTGGAATCAAACCGCACTGGGCCAGCATGGTTGACAATGGCCTTGTCTTAGGGTAGACTCCGAGCCCCTCAATGGTGACGTATAGCTGATGGCTATTGATTACTATATTTCTTTTAGAAATTAAGCAAAGTATGTAATATTTCTTATTAAACAGCCTCGTCTAAGTTAATGTTTGGATCACAATAAGTTGAAAGTCTAACTAAATATTAATATAAATAAGTATTTTAACTTACAGCCATGACAACCGCTATGAATAAAGTTCCCGTATTAAGTGGGTAGTAACAAAAGAACTTTTTAGGCGCAAGAGTTTCCCAATTCATGTTCGATAAAAGCACTTATAACTTAAATTGTTTTATATTTTAATACATTAACAATGACATAAGTGAATTGAGGTTATGTGCGCAAAATGACATTTTATAAATGTTTTTAATAAAACAGATTGATAAAGCGCAAAGGTTTCGAGTTTTTCGGCAATAAAACTTTGAATAAATGAAAATTTCTTTAATTCGTATAAACACCACATTATAATTAAGCGTTATTAATTGTCACTGGTGATTTTTGTTCTTTTAAAACTTTTGTTTCGATCCAATACCCAAACACAACCATCGATAAATAGATTAGAATTCCTGGAAATAAAAAAGTCAAACAAAACTATTAGCCCGATGAGAGCGGCGCTACTGTAGCTGATAGAGCTGTCAGAAAATATGTAAAACCTACATGGTCATAGAAAAAGATATAAAAGAAAAAAACATAACAGCTCCAGTTCGAAAAGTTATTAACAGGAGGGCGCTAGTGAGCTGACATAATTTAGTTTGACTTATGCCCACTGGGTCAAATATAATTATCAGTCTGTAAAGTTAAATGATTTATTTTGAAGTTAATATTAATTTTTAATCTCAGCGCCAAAACTAGTATAACATATTATAAAATAAGAAGTTAATTATATTATTACAAAACATAAATATTTTAATTTATTTCAAGTAGGGTTAGCAAAGACAGGATACCGTCTGTTAAAATTAAGCCAAGTTTTATAAAACCTCGTAAGCCGAAGTAAATAGTTTCAAAACTAATATATAAATTTTTAATATTTACCGATGGCTAATAATCCAAATATTATAGATAGTATCCAGGCGGCGAGGCTTACTTCCAAGCTATATACGCACAGTATTACAATAAGCAGGAGAAACATTTGTGCTAACCATACATCTGTTATTACAACCCAACATAATAATAGTATTCGTTTACCCTAAAAAGAACAAATATCTAAGTTAAACTTGAAGTCCACAACATTTGCAGCTAAGCATTTAACATGCACTTAACTTGACATTTGAATACAAACTGCCGTACTTAGAATTGCTTAAGATATTAATCCCTTAGGGTTGAATTTTTACTCTAAAGAACACTTTAAGTGAACATCAGATTGATCTTAGTAAGACAGTATACTCATTTTTATCGTTTTCAAAGAAAAGAAATGCTCGTACATATTAAATGACGTATTTATTGTTCAAAAAAAAAACGCTTTAATTTTACGTTTCAAATATAAATACGCAATGCAACAGACATTTTGCAAGATTTCAATATGTCAACCTAATTGTATGAAGGAAAATTTTTATGAGATTTTTTAAGTTTTTTTTTTAACTTTATAAAGTGGCAAACGAACAAGCGGTCATTTCGCTAAAATAGCGAAGCGATCGCTGCCTATCAACATCTGCAACAAGTTTAACGATGCCTACTTTAAATGGGCATAGGATCGAAAATAAAAGAGGTATTCCCCTTCCAATACTACTCTTCCCCGCGGAGTCTAAATCCACTTCCCATAATTTCGTTATACTTTACAATGAACTTAGAAAAGGACCTTACCTTTAACACTGCCCATATTAACATAAGATTTATAACAATTATAACGACGTCATAAATAATAGCGATAACATGGAAACTGAAGGCAGTCCTCCATACAAATTTCTGACATAATTTGTCATCCATCTGAAATACTTGTACAAGCAAAACTATGCAACTTGTCAGAGCGACACACTGAAATCACGAAACAGTATTATAAATGCGAAAGTTTAGATGGATGTTTATTAAAAGGTATCTCCAGAACATCTGCATGGATGTCGCTGAAATTTGGCATAAATGTAGAACATAGTCTGGAAGAACAGATTGGCTACTTATTAAGTTTTTTTTTAATTCGACGGACTGAGGATTTAGACGGTGTCGGTCGGGAGATTTGTAAAAAAACAACTCTCTACTACAACAACTAATTCGAATTTGATAATAAAATATCGAATACATCTTAATAATAATAATAATAATAAATCTTTAATTCAGACACATGGTCCATACAGAACAAAAATCCAAATTAAAACACTAGCACAAAAATAAAACAAAATTCTTTAGGGCACATGTAGACGGGTCCACATGGCCAGCACTGGACAGTCCAATCCCACTCTATCAACAATGAGTTGCAGGTAGCTGTTGGTGCTGTCCCGCACCCGACGCATCAGGGATGCTGCTCTCTTTCTAATACATACTCAAAAACGGATTTATTACAAGAATTAATCGAGCTATGCCTTATATTTAAAAAATCATACCTCACAATTGCGCCCTACCAGTAACCAAGTTAGGGAACGTAAATATGCATGGTATATTAAAACTTGTCACTTACACACATGAATACGCCTACAAACAGTGAACCGGTTTTTAAAGGAAAATAACATAGAAAATTTTTAGGAACCAAATATTTTACGACCATTTTCTTAAATATATAAACAGATAAATTACTAAATATGTTTATAATTGATACGTTCAAGCCTACTTGATTCTTATCTTTATTCTATTATAATAATAACAAAAAGTTCACATAGATTGCCCTTAAAATATATAAATTAACAATTATATAGTCCTAATTCTTTTATGTTATATTGATATTAAAAAATCCCTTATACGAATAACCGAAATTGTATACAAGTTCTTGATGCTTTATATTTTTAGACATCTTTACATATATAATTCTTCTGTGAGTGTGTATGTCACTGAACTTCTCTCAAACGACTGGACCGATTTTGATGAAATTTTTTGTGTGTGTTCAAGGGGATCTGGGAATGGTTTAGATTCACAATTTTGTCCGCTGGACAATGTTTTTTTAATTAATTTTTAATATATTAGTAGTTGTTGATTTTGGAATGTTTTACATTGGATCCGACAGACGGCGCTACCATCGCAGTGTCAAATTGTCAGACACCGTCTGTCGGGTCCGCTAGTTATTATTTAAAATCCTTTAGCGCGAATGACGTGCTTTCGTTACAAAGTCCAGTGTCAGAATGATTAGTGAGGGGACACAAACGTCGACATTTTAGTAAGGTAGGGTTGGGTCAATACACTGGCTCATTTTCGGATTTTCTTCCTAACAGTACATGTATACATATTTATGTAGCTGACTGTACATTTGTTTCTTAAATATAAAACTAACGTTTACCTAAAACTTTATATATTTACTAATTTGAAAACAATAATACAGTTTTATTTACTTTTGTATGCTTGTGGTGGAACAGTATAAAGTAAAGTTGAGATAAACATTCATCTTCAGGTGAGTTTTAATTAGGTAATATTAACATAGCTTCAATGTAAAGTAAATAAGCAAACAAGTTAGGAGTTGACTCATTAAAACTGTAAACAATGTTAAAATATATCAAAACAATTTTCATACGAGTATTATATAAACTTATTGTAGTTATTTAACAATGTTTATTTATGTATTCGAGCGTCGGTGGCACAGGTCCTGAGTTCGAATCCCGCCATGTACCAATATGTTTTTCTATTTACATATGTATATTTATCCAACGTTCATACGGTGAAGAAAAACATCGTGATACAACCTACATATATCTGAGAATAAATTCAATAATATGTGTGAAGTCAACCAGCCCGCATTTGGCCAGCGTGGTTGACTATGGCCAATTCCCCCTAAACGATGATTCTGTTTGTATTATGTAAGTTGTCACTGTCAAAATATCAATATATTTATTCTTCTTCTTCTAGCTACAGCCTTTTGCGGACCTTGGCTAGTCCAACTTGTTTCACCTCGTCTCTACCTCTGGCCATGGGCTTTCATTTTGCTATGCCCGCATTTTCGCGTCTCTATATATAAAATTCTTGTCATGATGTATGTTTGCCATAAATTCCGAAACTACTGAACCAATTCTTATCAAATTTTGTTAGCATGTGTGACTTGGTCCAACTTTAGAGGTAGGGGTAGTTTTTATCTCAATTATTTGTCTTCATTTTTTTAAAACCGCGCGGACGGAGTCGCGGATTTCGGCAAGGAAAAATGTAATATTACACTGTCTTTTTATATCTAAAAGCTGTGGCACACGACTCTACTATGTTCTATATGTATGGTAAATTTCATCGAGATCCTTTTAGCCGTTCTGGAGATACCTTCAAACAAACATCCATCTAAACATTTGCATTTATATTATTAGTAAAATGAGATTGGATATGTCACTGGCATTATTTATGACGTCATCGAAAGGTATCATGTGCAGAAGCAGTTTTACTGTTACAGAAAATATGTCATAAAATTATTAGTTTTTATGATATTATCATCAACAATAAAACTATTGTGATATATGAACAATCGCACGGAAATGGTGTGGCGGAACAAATAGATTTGATACGTACGAATCAAATATTTTTGACTTAACTAAATATTATTTTAATTTAATGTTAAGTGATTACTTAATTGTAACGAATTAAGAAAAAAAATCATATTTTAAAAAGAAATGCATATATCTCGAGGACGGCTCAACAGATCTTCATGGCATTTGGCACAAATATAACATAGTCTGGAAGAACACATAGACTATTTATTTTTTTTAATTTCGCGGAGACGGTGACGCAGGCAACAGTTGGAAATTAATAAAATTATAGACACCAATATTATTTGATAAAATTATTTGAACCCAAGTCTATAATTTCGTGGTCGCACTTTCGTAACACGAAATGCTAGTTTCACCGTTAGCATTTTGTAAAGGGACCTTTATGTGTGTGGTATAATGATTGGTTGTTAGTATTATTGGAAAATACAATTTTTTTACCCTCTAATTTTTTTTATATATTATAAGGTGGCAAACGAGCGAGCCACCTGAAATCTTGAAATAGCGTAGTGACCGTTGCCCATAGATATACGCAATTGCATGTGCGTTGCCTACTTTTAATCGACGGAGGAGAGGATGCACAGAAAGAAAATATTTTCCCTTTTTATGCATCCTCTCATCCAGAAAGTTCATTTCCATTTCCCATCCTTTCCTTATAAGAAAAGGGGTAGGAAGGGAAATAGGACTAAATTAGGCCTCCGGGGTGCACACTCATCAGGCTGTACGCAGAATTGCTTCCACTTGACGTCTGTCTTCTGTAGTGTTGTGGTATTTCACCGGGCAAGCTAGGACAATTCGTGCGAAGATGTTAAAGCGGACTCTACCACTGTTAATTATTATTGTTTTAATTTATAATTTGTTTCAGATAAAAATTTAAGCTTAGTTTATATCCTAAGGATTGTGTTATGTATCAGTGTTTACGGAGCAAACTTACGTCGTCAAGGATCAGCTAAATTTAGTATCAGTTCCATGTTCGAATCCGCCGTTCCTGCAGCCATACATCCTTTAATTGCTGCCGGTTCATACAGATGTACGTACTTTAATCATTTTTAGAATTCTTTATTGCGAATGGCACGTTTTCGTTACCAAGTCAAGTGTCAGATGGATTAGTGAGGGGACATAAAAGTTGACATTTTAATAAGGCTAGTGTTGCCCCGATAAACCGGCACAGTGTCGGATTTTCTTGCCAACAATTTTGACTTTATTTCAGCAGTAAAAAAATATACTACATATAACCTGGATTAAATTTGACAAAAATACAATATAAAAGTAGGATTTCACAGTGTATGTGTTTTTATTAAATAATGTTTTTTTTTTCAGGTGAAACAATAAAAAGATTTTTCGGTTTGACATACGATCAAATGATGGAAAAAAAATTACCTTTTTATGACAATCTTAACATCGATTTTGTCACAAGCAGTGGTAATGTAAAACTGAATGTAACCGCTTCAGAATTATTGGATAAATTGTTAGATAATACAAAAATGACAGTTGTATTAACTCACGGCTTTATGGAGAGTTCCGAAGGGATAATGGCAAAAGCTCTGACGTCAGAGCTTTTAAAGAAAAAAGATATGGACGTATTGGTATTAGATGGACGAAATATTATATCATACGAGTATTTCCGGTCGACGACATATGTAAGATTTATTGGTGAAAAATTGGGATCGGTATTAAGTCAAATAATAAAAAGTAAGTTTTATAATACACATAAATAATTGTAACATCATCTTACTTACAATATAAATGCGAATATTCAGATGGATGGATGGCTGTTTGTTTGTAGTTATCTTCAGAAAGGCTCAATGGATCACGATGAAATATGGCATGAATGTAGAACATAGTCTGGAAGAACACATAGGCTACATATTAAGTTTTTTTTAATTCCACGCCAACGAAGTCGCGGGCGACAGACACACATTGGTACATGTGTATATAATTATAGTGCGTTATTGTTCAAATCTTAAATGTAGAAATCTAAACTTTCTGAAGATCTGAAATGACCTTTGATATTATAAACTCAACACCTATTTTATAGTTTAAATTTTAGACGGTGGTAATCATTACTTTGCACTTTGTATACATTCTTTATTTTTCAGAGGGTCAAGACGCAAACAACATAATAATAATTGGACATAGCCTTGGAGCGCATATAGCTGGAATTGCTGGCAAAAGAATACAACAGTTGACTGGTAAAGCTATTGGCCGTATCATAGCTTTGGATCCTGCAGGACCATGTTTTATTAACATCAATCGGGATTACCGTCTGGACAAGGATGACGCGGTATACGTTGATGTGATACATACCAACGGTGGTATATTAGGACTTAAAGAGCCTGTAGGTAAATACATGTAGGTAAGGAAAGTATAGGAAAGATGACTCTTATTTAAACGCGAAAAATGTCTTAAAGTTTAACATCTTACTATGAGGAAGCTGAACTTATGACTTATCTTCTAAGGGTATGTTTTTGATACCAAAATACCCGTTTAAAACATATGTCTGTTTTGCCAAATCATCATCATCAGCTCAATATACGTTCCCACCTAGAGGCTCGGAGCCTACCCTAAGTTAGGGGTGACTTGGCCATAGTCAACTACGCTGGCCAAGTGCGGGTTGGTTGACTTCACACATATCTTTGAATTTCTTCTCGGATATGTGCAGGTTGCATCACGATGTTTTCCTTCATCGTTAGAACGTCGGATACATGTACACACATTGGTACATGGCGGGATTGCTAAAGATAATTACAGGGATTACGATATATTCAGAGATTTTGGTTTTAGAAACCCTAGGTAAATATATTATTATTTTAAAATGTACGTCACATTTTAAAATAATAATATACATAATTTTACGTATAACAGTCAATGGGTTCTTTTTAATATAATATAATAATAAGAAATCGTAAACCAGAAAAACATTGATATAAATAAAAACACAAAAGTAAAAGTCTATTATTAATTTCCAAGTTACGAGTGTTGTTACGACGAAGTCAACACAACATGACAAGTTATCACAAACTTTTGATGTTATTTCTCATTCATTATCCGATATTATCTTGTTCCCGAAGTGTTTGGACACGGCAACAGAAAAGTTTAACTTAAAATTCATCAAATCTAAAGCAACCAAGTGTAGTATTTGTCAAATATATGTTTTTCAAATTATGTGTTAGTTTGGTTCCTTGTTTGATGCTTGGTCATATCGTTTTATGTTTTTTAAGCATACAAGTTTGATGAAAATTTTGTTTTTTTACAGGGCGGTTTGGTTACTATCAAATCTTACTAATGTTATAAATGCGAATGTTTGGATTGATGGATAGATGGATGTATGTTTGTTTGAAGGTATCTCCAGAACGGCTATAAGGATTTCGCTGAAATTTGGCTCAGATGTGGAACATAGTCTAGAAAAACACATAGCCTACCAATTACGCGGACAGAATCTCGGTCGACAGCTAGTTGTCTTAATAAAAATGTCACTAATTATATCGTAAATTGCAGGTCACAAAGATTTCTATCCTAACGGTGGATCATCACAGCCGGGCTGTTTTCTATCAACCTGTGATCACAGCAGAGCTTGGGAATTATTTGCGGAATCTCTTAGATTCCCTCAACATTTTTTGGGTACGGCAATATTAAACAAATTAATTATAATATTTGTTTCATACTTCTCAATTTGTGATTGCATCAAGTAGTTATCGAAAGTTTCAATGGGCTAGCGTACAGAAGCCGGTTTCAATGGACTAGCGTCGGTCCGTGTGACTGTTAACTTCATATTGTAAAATTACTTATTAATTCCTTCTTCCGAACTAAATTATTTTGCAATAAAATTTATCACATATCAGAGTTTACAGTAATACGCTTTAGTAATAGTAATATTTGTCATTAATACTAAGAACTTAATAAATATATTTGATTTCAGCTCATAGGTGTAGTAATTGGACAATGTTTCGAGAAGGACATTGTTCAAAAAATGATTTAGCCTACATGGGAATTAATTCAACGAAAGGCAGTCCTGGATCTTATTTCCTTACGACTAATTCTATATCACCATTTGGCATCGGTTCTTCGGGTACTAGATAAAGTTTATATAAATAAAACAAACCTAATAAACTCAAACGTATCTTATTTTACAATATACATCAAAGTCAAATACTATCACAATAAACAGACAGACAAGCAGACAGATGTTTTGATACCTCTGATGCAAGATATTTTTATTACTGACTAAATTTATTATTCAATTAAGCGTTAATAGCCTAATGGTTAAGGGTATGGATTTCCGATCACCAGATCGGGAGTTCAAATCCCGCCATTCGACTATTTTCGTAAACCGTATCCTAGCAAAAGCCTAGAGCTTAGTTGGAATGGTAAAAGAAATATTAGTAAATTTACAAAAAATCTGCTATTAAAAAAAAATTTAGAAACTTTTTTTTTTTTAGTTTAAGTCAAAACAAACAAACATGAAGACATTTTCTCTTTATGATACTTCTAAAGATATTGAAAGAAGGAAAATATTTCAATCTATAAAAAAAAACACTAATTAATATAAGGCCAAGTTTTGTGAGTATTGTAATGTATTATTTCAGCTATCATTAATATTAAAGAAATAAAATAAAATAGAAATATGATAAGTAATGGAGTAACGATATGTTCGGAATAAGAACTGACGAAGAACCTATTTCTGACACAAGTGAGAGGAGACAAAGGATCCACAGATGTAAACCTCTTGATAACACCAGCTTCTTTCATACGAAGTATTCTGAAAAAGAGACAGAAAGATGAAATAGAAGAAACGGTATAACAGTAGTAGAGCCCGGTTTAACATCTTCGCACGAATTGGCCCGGCTCGCCCGGTGAAATACCACGACCACACAGGCGTCAAGTGGAAGCAATTCCGCGTTTCGTCTGATGAGTGTGAGTCCCGGAGGCCTAATTTAGTCCTCTTTCCCTTCCCACCCTTTTTCTTAAAAGGAAAGGATCGGAAGTGGTAGTGGACTTTCCGGATGAGAGGATGCATGGAAAGGGAAAATATTTTCTCTCTGTACATCCTTTCGTCCGTCGATCAAAGGTAGGCAACGCATATGCAATTGCGTATGTCTATGGGCAACGGCCACTTCGCTATTTCAGATAGTATATACATATATAATAGATATAGCTATTTCACGGCAAATAGTCAAGAACCAAAGTCAACAAATACGCTCAAGGAAGCAATGATATTAGAACAGTCAACGACATCTAGTGAAATTTTTAAACAACACACTCACCCCATCTTTAGTTGTTCTGTATATTTGAATTGTTTTCCAACACTAAGATACATTTTTACATTAGAAAATATATCTACTTCTTCTAATTCACAAATATCTTCGTCGTTAAATGCTAAAATATATAAGAAATTGTATGAGAAAATCTTACTAATATTATAAATGCGAATATTTAGATGTATGTATGGATGGATGGATGAATGAATGTTTGTTTGATGATATCCCCAGAATGGCTGCATCCATGCAGGATCCATCTATGTGTTCTTCCAGACTATGTTGTATGATGAAATGTCTTTGAAATGAATGTCATGTAATAATGAACATAGTCTGGAAGAACACATAGGGTACTAATTATTTTTTTTAATTCTTTTTAATAATTGAATAATTAAATGTATGGAAGAAAAAGATAAGCTAAATTTTATTAAAGGAGACAGAGAACAAGAAAAAGAAGACATACTAACTCCTGGCAATTGCAGAATAAACAGTTGGGTAATCGCACAATAAAGCAGTCTTCTCTTTCCGTACTGCCTCTAAACCTGCTGATAGATTGATCGATTGAGCACGAGTTAATTTCTTAGCCATTTCATTCATTTGTATATTAATGGAGTTTACCTGTAAAAATAATTTAAAAAATGGAGAATAACTTTACTGTCAGTTTTTCTTTTATATCATAAGGTGGCAAACGAGCGAGCGGCCACCTGAAATCGCTGAAATAGCGAAGTCACCGTTGCCCATAGACATATGCAATAGCATTTGCGTTGCCTACCTTTAATCGACGGAGGAGAGGATGCACAGAAAGAAAATATTTTCCCTTTTCATGCATCCTCTCATCCGGAAAGCTCACTTCCATTTCCCATCCTTTACTTATAAGAAAAAGTGGGAAGGGAAAGATAACTAAATTAGGCTTCCGGGACGTTTTTTATGTTGTCTATCGTATCTACTTTTATGGGTCAATTTGATTTTTATAAAGAATTCGGTAGTAATTATTGTTTAGACTTACTCTTCTTTCTGTAGCCAATTTCATGTTTTCCAAGATTCTCAATTTGTAGTCACTATGAGCCAAGGCTTCTATGTCCATTTCACCTTCCTTCTCGGTGACGATGAACGAAAGGAGATTGGACGTGTAGAATGAATTTGTAACGTAAGCAAAGATGACGAAGAAGAAGTATGCCATTCTTTGAGACCAGAAAATTGACGGCGATGGTAAAGCTGAAATGTTTTTTGTCTTAATACAGAGAGTTTACATTGTAGAAAACTTATGTGAAAACATTTCGTCAACTCTTTCATTATCATTGAAAAAAATGAGACGAACATATTTTAATATTTTAAGGGTATCGATTAGGTAACAACAATGCCATTTTTTCCTTATTGAAATATTATGAAAAATCCTGCTGTCTTAATTTTTAACTTTATTTAGTAAGACAGCATCATTCTCGTAAATCTTAAAAGCTCATTACGTGAGGTTTGACGCAAAATGTACTTTACTTATCTACCTCGATAAAGTTATTATTAGCCTGCTTCCATTTAACGATTACAGTATATTGAATTAGGGTCGAAGGACTTCTGACCCAAAAACATGTCTAAAAATATTTTTATCAATGCATAGAGATACAATAATTACAAGTACCTGGATGACCGTATTTTTTCAATTGTGTTTTTTGGATTTATTTAAGTACGAATTACTAATAAAATGATGAATTATGAATAATATTTTTCGATCTTACCTATAGAAAAAGTTAAGTTTATGTATAAGTTGATTATCGATAAAACACGAATAGAATGACATTTTCTAAAAATGATTCCTAGCTAGATCGATTTATCGCCCCCGAAACCCTCTATATACTAAATTTTATGAAAATCGTTGGAGCCGATTCCGAGATTTCAATTATATACAGGGTGTCCCAAAAGGTTACGTACATAGGAAGGGGGATGATAGGGGTGATCACAAAGGTCACCAGAAAAATTAAATAAAAATTCCCCTCTGAGTATTAAAAAAATAAATGGCATTTTTTAAAAACTTTAAAATTTTACACGTTCTGGGGCAATTTTGTAACCAATGACCTACAAATATTGCTACATTTTAAAAAAAAAGCTATTATGTTATCGTCAATAACCCTTTATCAATATGAAATAAAAAAACAATACAACTAACAAAGATTTTAAAGAAAATTAAAATTGCCCCAGAAGGTGTAAAATTTTTAAGTTTTTAAAAAATGCCATTTATTTTTTTAATACCCAGAGGGGAATTTTTATTTAATTTTTCTGGTGACCTTTGTGACCATCCCTATCATACCCCTTCCTATGTACGTAACCTTTTGGGACACCCTGTATACAAGAATTGCTCATTTAAAGATATAAGATATTGTAATAGAGATTTTTATGACAATCAGGTAGTAAATATATGAGACTATATAATTTTATACAATATACTAAAAATATGAAGCAACGTATATCATCGTACTGAGTATACTCGTAAAGATTTAAGAATAATCGTTTTTTTTTTCTTATATCGAATTTCATATATTTATAAGAAATTAATATAATACTTACAATGTTGACAGAAAACTCCAAACGCTATATAAAATTCGTAAATCAAATTGCACTCCAAGCTACCAACGATAGACTTCTCCCATCTCCTTACTACATAGAAAATAAATGTTACCAACATAATAATACCCAGAATACAAAGCCATACGGATTTTGAAAATGGTAGACTGTAGTATGGACGCATAATAGCATTGGTTTCGCGACGAAGGATGAACCCAAACCTGGAAGATAACGGATAATACTTAATTAAAGAGAAAGTATACGCTATCACAGAAAATCGGAGCGCCAGGGACGGAGTTACGCGGTAACACACATAAAAAAAACTTAAACTTTTTGAAGTCGGCCAAAAATATTGAGCTAAATATCCACCACACTCAACCTCATTTCATAACCAACCTCATTACGGATGAGCGCACACAATGGAGGCGCACATAATAGTCTACAAGAGATGGCCAAGAAGAGAGGTTGCAACCTTCAGGAATAAGGAATCGACGCATAGATAGAAGTAAATTTTGCTCAATATTTCTACTAATTCCTAACTAAGCCGTAAACAAAACACTGTCATTTTTTAATTTAATAAAGAAATAAAACACTGTCATTATCTTTCTGAAAGATTACATCAATTATTGTACAGATTATATCCATAATATTGAAGACTATAAGTAGTCTATGACCATAATTAAAGACAAATAAAAATAATAAATACTCGTGCATAGTCCTACATCAAATACCTCCAAACAAATATCGCTTCTACAGGATTTACATTATTCACCATTTCATTGGTAATAGCCATCAGTTTAAGGTAAATATCGACTGTCTTATTACCAAAAGGATAAACAGATAATTCTTCACTTTTATTTCTTGTAGTACTGCATCCTGGAGTTATGTATGTTATACTGAAATGGAAAAACGCAACAGTGAAGACGGAAGAAGAATAAAAAATCCCCTTACATATAAATAAATAAATGCTTTATTGCAACACTAATTTACACAATTATGTAGGAACTTTGGTTCCTGAAGCAGGTCAAAGCCTATTTCAGAAGCCATTGCTCTCTCCTTATGATTAAATCGATTTTACATTTAGTGAAGAAAGAAAAAAAAATTGAACAAGAAATTAAAAATTGATTAAAACATTATTGAAATTAATTTTATTAAAAAACTTAAGGAGTTTATTACAAACATATCTAAATTGTTCGATTATTCTTTATTGCTTACTTACAATTCAATATGAACAACAATAATTAGTAGAACTATACTTACTTAAAATTATACATTTGCTGGAGTATCAAAATAACTCTACAGCTAAGAGCATTTTGTCTCCACGCCGGATCGAATTGATAGATTGCTTCCAGCTCATCAACATGATTGCAATCAAAAAGTGTCATTGCATTAAAATGTTCCTCCATTTTTAAACTAAACACTTTTAATTGTAGACGTTGTATCAAGAAATCAAGAGAATCGGACAAGAGAGAGAATCATAGACATAGACTAATGCAAGACTATGAAATGTTGCAATGAAGAAAGTGAACGTACGCCATAAACATCACCTATCAACGTCTGTTTAATATTCTACAGAGTTGGGGAAGAAATAATAAATATTAATGATAATCAAACAGTGAAAACGCCAGTAAATGTACGGTTGCGATACGTAAGAAAACATAAAGCATGCTGTAATGAAAATCAAACATTTCATTATTGAATCGATTATTTTATATCGGAGAATTTAAGCGAATAGCAAGGAGTACTGTAAAGTTTTGCTTTTTTAAGTGTTCCTTGTTTAAATCGTTTGAACCATAAGGCAACTGGATGTGATCACAAAATAAAATACTTTAGATCTACATTATTGAATGAAGACATGCACAGTGTATCATAATTTTAGCGTTCCGTACCTCGAAAGAAAAAAACAGAAACCTTATAGGTTTACTTTGTTGTCCGTCCGTCTGTCAAGACCCTTTTTCTCAAAAACGCGTGAAGGTATCAAGCTGGAATTAATTTAGCCATGTCTTTGCCTATTCTCGGATCTCGTAAGCTTAAAAAAAACATTAAATATTATGTTTAATATTGTTATGTTTTAATCAGATTTTAACACCACTGGGAACGTGGAGGATGCACAGATGTTATAAAAATCTGGTCAAGTGCGAGTCAGACTCGCGCCCCCTTTTTCTTGTAGGTTTTGATTCCCTTGCGAATGTCGAAAATTTACGTAAATTTTCGTAAATTTTCGACATAAACGGTTGTATAATATCTTTTGATTTGGTTTGGTTGGCTTAGAAGTTTTATTTTTTCACAGCACCTAGTGACCGCAGACCTGAACATTTGGTATAAATTCCAGCTTGATACCTTCACGCGTTTTTGAGAAAAAGGGTCTTGACAGACAGACGGACGGACGACAAGGTTATCCTATAAAAGTTCCGTTTTTTTCCTATGAGGTACGGAACCTTAAGTACGATCACATTTTGTGAAATGTTTTTCAACGTGTCGGTCAACGTGCGGTTTTTCAAGAGATTCCAGGAAAATAACGTGTCGAAATAATTTCCAGCGTCGACACAACTTACGTTACCGTGACTCGAAATAGAGAAGTTGAGCAACGGATTGATTATTTCGTTGACTTCAAACTTTTTCACGCGTCATAATACTTGCCATTCACTTTCACAACTGTTCGTTTTTTTTAATTTATGAAGTAATTTATATTTATTTTAGATTTTAGGCATCACAAAAAAATAAAAAAGTATTATATATTTATAACAACTTCATTGTTTTTCTCCCATGGGTAGGTGACTGGTGTCCAAACTGGGGTGATACTCAGTGTGATGGATCACCACAGACCAAAAAGTTTGTAAAAGAAAAAAAATGAAAAATAAACATATTATAAGTAATTTTACAAAGTTGTTGTAATTTAAATTATATTGAGATTTACAGTTTGAATTATTAAACTTTACTATTAAAATTATTGTGCGATGTGTGTGTATGTGTGTTATATCTTACTAATATTATAAATGCGAATGTTAAGATGGATGGATGTTTGATGGTATCTCTAGAACGGCTTAACAGATCTCGCTGAAATTTGACATAGATGTAGAACATAGTCTCGAAGAACACGTAGGCCACTATTTTTTTAAATTCCGCCCGGATAGAGTCGCGGGTGACACCTAGTACAAAATATTATAGTAAAGCTAACTGAGACTCATTACGCTAAAATCAGGAATTACCTAGATTATTTTGCGTATTGTAAGCGTTAATATCCTTTCTAAATTACCTATCTTTGAACTTTTAATATTTAAATTAACATTTGTGTGTAATCCAACGTGATTGTCAGCACAAACGTGGTAAGACACGCTTTTTGGATTGATTAGAAATAAATCCGGAATTGATTTACGTAAATCTCAAAACTTTACAAATGAATTCTTAGTAATGCAGTAAAACATTTCTAAAAATGTGTCTTACGAATTTCTTAAAATAATTCTGTAATTGGTCTTTATCGCTTAATACTTTTTAGTTTATAAGACTTCTTAGGAGTTTTTTTCTGTGACTTTCTAACGATTCATGTTGCAATGTAATCTTAATTAAAATATAAAAATAACTTAACCCCACGTTAAAGGGATAAAAATTTATCACGTGGCTTGAAATGAGTTTCTTAAACACCACGAGATCTATAATCCTCTGACCCGTTCTTTAATAATTAGTCATATCGTCTTATACAATGAATTTATTACATGTAAGTACTTTATAGCGTCGCTGGCGTCGTTGGCTCAGTGGTCAAGCACTTGACTTGCAATCTGCAGGTCCTGGGTTTGAATCCCGCCATGTACCAATGTGTTTTTCGATTTGCGATTTACATGTGCATATGGTACATTTATGCGACGTTCTTACGGTGAAGGAAAACATCGCGATGCAACCCGCACTGGGCCAGCGTGGTTGACTATGGCCTAGTCACCCCTAACTTAGGGTAGGCTCTGAGCCCCTCGGTGGGGACGTATAGTAAGCTGATGATGATGAAGTACTTTAGTGTTTTACTAAAACGAACGATTCTCACGGGATAAATTTGTTTTCCTTTTCACCAAGCAATAAAATAAAAACTTTTATTTTTAATTTCATGTTGTCTTTAATGCCACATAGACGTAGTGATAGGCAACAACCAATAGTATTGATAAAAAAATATTCCTTTCATCTGTTGGTACAATTTTAAATACATAGCGACGCAATACTAGCTCTAAATTATTCGTCTCATTAAAATGCTAAATTGAGACATTAACTGAATCATTATGATCTATTAGCACGCACTTATCAAATGCAAGATAAATTGAGCTCATTGAAAATTGAGCCATAATTGAGCCAGCTCATCATCTCCCTGTCCTTTTCCCACTCATGTGGTCGACGCACGAGGTTTTATAAACCTTTAGGTGCTTTAAAGCTAGCAACACACCTAAATGTATATTCGACTATTCAATTAAAACTGAAAGTGTGTAACAGACTTTAAAGACACATATTTCGTCATAAAATTCTATTAAATGGCTGCCGCTAACTCGTTTGCCAGCTTTATTTATATATTTTTTTATTCATGGTTCGTTAAAAACACTCATTTGTGTAGGACAGGATTTGATATAGGTTAATGACGCATTTCTCTCTCTGTTCAGTTCTGGTATGGACAGGATCTCAGTTGGATGCATGTATGTCTTTTTAACATGTATATGAACTCTTTGACGTTTTTAATTGCCTTTAATTCATGATAAAAAATAATCACTTTGTAAAAACGTTGCCGTAAGTTTATGATAAAATATTCGCACAAAAATATTTTATCATTGTTTCTTACTCTACCAAATAAGGTTATGTTTTATGGATATTTTGATAATGCATATTTATCGTTAAGTAACTATCATACAAAATTATTAAATGACTTTTTTATATTATAAGGTGACAAATGAGCAAGCTGGTACCAGAATTAGCGGAAAAAGCGAACCAATCGCTGACCATAGACATTCGCAATCGCAATCAGAATCGATGAAGGAGAAAAAGCACAGATAGAAAATATTTCCCTTCCTATACGTATCGTGGTTCATCAAATCTCTTTCCTCTTCTCATGCATTTCGTATAAGAAAATGGTCAAAAGGGAAAAAAGACTAAAATTAGGCCTCCGTTATGCGGAAATATACTGTACCTACTTGTACAAGAACCCAAAAAAGCCCCGCGACCCGTATTAAATGATACAAAAAAGGTCAGGTGGATGAGTCATTTAATTAGCGTTAAGCGCAATCACAACAAAACAGTAAAACAAAACGCTAGCGTTCACTTAAATAGCGCAGCGCCATCTAGTCCTTTTAGAACGAAACTTATATTTTTATCAACATTTACTTTTTATTTGCGCGTGAACATATCCGCCCACCATGGACTTTTCACTTTTTGTTAAGTGAAATACAAAAATCTCGTCCCATAAATGAGATTCATTACTTGTAGCAAGTGTTATCATGTAAAGGTCACAATATTGTGATGTAGTGACGTCGAGTCAGAGCCCGCATTATAGCAAGCACTTGGCAAAGGGGTCGAGTATTGTTAACGCCCTTTCACTGCTATACTAAATTTTATTTATAGTCGTAATATAGAATTTAATTTTTATTTTACAATATTTTATTAGGTGAGACCGAAATGAGATCCACTTCTCGGTTACTAAACTAAAATTTTGCATAAATGTATAAATCGTGTGACACTGCAACATTATGATGACATGGTCATGATCTGATGATGGAGCTGGAAGGTGGTCATAGGAACTTCGCTATAAAACGACACCACCTCATCGCATTTGGGTGTTTTTGAATAATCTTGACAAATAGTTTGTTCTTTTAAACATGAACGTAATAAAAACTTGTTTTAAAATCTTTGTTTGCTATATTTTTAAAAATCGATATTATTATGCTATACTCAGAGTCGTGGTTACTTAAGCCGTCACTTAGTGTATAATTTAGTGGGAGAAGTTTACACTAAGGGTATACACGTATGTACATCATTAATAAACAAGTGCGAATTGTATCTTAAGTACGGATTAACTGCAAATAGTCATAACAAAGTTTAAAGTTCTGTATTTAGATGTATGAGACATTTGGGATTTGTAAATCGTGTACCAACGAAAAAGTAACATAAGAAAACATTTTATTGCTCAATAAAGCATTTTTATTACTCGATTACCGTGAATATTTTAGTTTTATAGATACCACTACGAATTTCAAATGATTTACGTTGACGACATTTCTGAAAACCTAATTTGGATCTAACTATATGTGCATACTGTTAGGAAGAAAATCCGACACTGTGCGGGTGTATTGGCACAACACTAGCCTTACTAAAATGTCGACGTTTATGTCCCCTCACTAATAATTCTGACACTTGATTTTGTAACGAGAGCGCGCCATTCGCGCCAAAGGATTCTAACTAATAATGTCTAAAAATACGTAGACATGTATCAAAAATATATTTCACGCGTAGGAAGTCGCGTGCAACTGTTATGTGATATGAACTGACTAAGTGTTGCCCGCTATTCCGTCCGCGTGGAATTAAAATAACCCTAATAAGTAGCCTATTTCTTTCAGACTTTATTCTACAACTATGCCAAATTACGGATACCTTCTAACTAATATCCATCTAAAATTTCACATTTATAATTCAAATTAATGTTCAACTATAATTTAGTTTTTAACTACATTGCTATCTATTACTATAGTTTAATAGTTGCCATACTTGTTTGTTTGCTCGTTATAGATATAAAATTGTTATAAGTGAAGACTTGTCATTGGCTCTCACTTGTCTAGTCTAAAGTTAATAAGATTATTATAGCTGTAAGTTTTCCATGTTGTAAATAAATAAATAAATAATATTCGTAACATATATTTAATAATTTCTAAGTAGCAATTCTTTTGTCTATCCACACCTGTACCTAATAAACGAGACCATAATAATAGCATAGTTACATTGTCTAATTGACTATTTTAAAAACAAAACAAAACACAACCAGCTTTCAGCAAAATTAAACGTCATATCATATTTGCATTATCATTCGTCAGATGTATAATTTAGTAAAAACTAAATAAACGGTACAGAGTCAATTGACCAAGAAATACGTGATTCTTGAATCGCCGGTTGGAAAATTTAACCATAATAAATACTTTATTATTTAAATCTATAGCCATTATGAAAACATAGAAACATTATTTTGGGTTACAAATTTATGCCCATTTTTAAATAATTTCTGTCAAAAATTAATAATGTTTGAAATCTAACTAATACTATAAATGCGAATGTTTAAATGGATGGATAGATGGATGTGTGTTTGATGGTATCTCAACAACATAGTCTGGAAGAACTCATAGGCTACTAACTACTTTTTTAGGGTTCCGTACCTCATAGGAAAAAAACGGAACCCTTATAGGATCACTTTGTAGTTCGTCCGTCTGTCAAGACCCTTTTTCTCAAAAACGCGTGAAAGTATCAAGCTGGAATTTATATCAAATGTTCAGGTTAGCGGTTGCTAGGTGACAGCTATTAATTTCATATTTCGTTGTTGAAATGAGTGTTTTTATCTATGTATCAAAGTTCGATAATGACTTTATAATTTTCACGGCTTCTGGCAACCCTATTAGGTGTAACTAACGTTTTCCACACTAGATCATTAGTTACGCCAGGGCTGTCACGGCCACTATAATTGTCCTGTCTTTCCTTCTATAGTGTAAAACAGTCGCATATCATATTTCCAATGAAAAAGTTGTGTTTGATGACATTCGTAAGTAAAAAAAAAATAACAAAATATATAAATATTTTAACTCTATATTTTTAGCTTTTTTAACTGGAATTTCTTAGATTGACTTTACTCTTTCATAAGAAATTATATTTTGTAATAATTGTTTAAGGCATAGTACATTTAATTTACAGTCACCAACTGAAGCGAAATGTCCAAAATTCTATTTAAAATCAACGGAACTCAATATGAAGGTAAGTATTTATAGGAACAATGTTTCAGTAATTATTATATATAAGCATTATTTTCATTAAAAATATACACTCAAGCCAAACTAATTTAATCCACAAATTAATTACTGGACGCATTTATCGTGGGTTTCTGAAACCAAAATCTCCGTTTAAAACTTATCTCTGTTTTGTCAAAGATAAAGATTTTATACAGAATTTTTTTGTAATAAACCAACAGTTAGTCATTGGTTACTGCAACAAAAACGTAATGACTATTTAACATTTTGACCAGTGCTTGCCAGTCCAACATGAGCATGAACAGTGACCAGTTGAAGACCCTGAGTAGAAAGTATTATAACTTTAATAAAGACTGCTACAGATTTAATTTTAGTAAGTTTCCTAGATTAATCTTACATGTTCTCTAGTGGACGGTAACTACGGTCCGGACTTTACGTTGAACGAATTCATAAGGACGGTAGCGGGACTACGAGGTACCAAAGCAATGTGCCACGAGGGTGGCTGCGGCGCATGCGTAGTCGCCGTACAAGCTCCGGCGCAGCCTAATAATGAACTGAAGATGTTTTCAGTTAATTCTGTAAGTACCTAATACTGCGAATAGTCTGTCAGCCTTAAAGGAAGTTTTCCACTGATCGTTCAATTTTGGACATTGGACATACAGTTGAGACATCATTAAAGCAAAGTAAACATGAAAAGCACATTTACCTTCAATGTTTTATCTTTGCAGTGTCTAGTTTCTGTTTTGTCATGTCATAACTGGGAAGTAACAACAGTTGAAGGTATTGGGAACAGAACAATCGGCTACCATGATATTCAAACTCGGCTTGCTAAATTTAACGGTACTCAGTGTGGATATTGCACACCAGGCTGGGTCATGAATATGTACAGGTAAAATTTATTTAAAACGTCTTAAAGTTTTCTTATGAAAATGGAACTATATGAAGAGTCTACTGAGCCAAGTCATGTCCCACATAGAGTTATATATGTATATACAAAGACCAGTAGAGGTGAAAGAATAAGAACTTTATGATGATATCAAATATTTTTTGCAGTTTGTACAAATCTAAAAATGGAAATCTAAGTGCAGCTGAAATAGAGAACTCTTTTGCAAGCAATATCTGTAGATGTACTGGGTACAGATCAATAGCAGACGCTTTCAAGACATTTGCTAGAGATGCAGACGAAGATATTATTAAAAAATTAATTGACGTTGAAGATATTTGCAAATTAAAAGCATGTGGTAGCAAATGTACAAAAATATGTTCCTATAGAAATTCACAGAAGCCAAATCCAAACAAAATACAGTTTGATGAAGACACTAAGAAAGATTCTTGGTGCATTCTTGGTAATATGCAAAACGAACCATTAATGGTGAAAAATACAGGCGGGGATACATTCAGGTGGTTCAAAGTTTATAAACTCTCTGATTTATTTAAAGTGATAGAACAAAACGATGACTACAAAATAGTAGCTGGTAATACTGGACAAGGTATGAAAAATAAGTCACTTGGAATAAGTCTTTACGAACTTCAGAAATCGAAATCTTACTATCATAAATGCTAACGTTTAGATGTATGCGACATGGGCATGGCTATTGGGCTGACATGGCCCGAGACCAAGCGCAGAGCCCATGATAGAGCGAACTGGCAGCGCACTGTGGACGCCATCTGCCCCACTGCGTGGATATAGGACTTTAAGTCAAGTCAAGTCAGATGTATGGATGGATGGATGGATGTTTGTTTGAAGATATCTCCAGAACGGCTGGATGGATCTCGCTGAAATTTGGCATAGATGTAGAATATAGTCTGGAAGATCACATAGGCTACTTTTACATAGTCTTTTTTTTAAACTAGAAATTTTAGAGTCGCGGACGACAGCTAGTATTATATAAATTTCATCAATTAAAATTGATGTTAATATTTTTAATCTTCCAGGGGTATATCACGTTAAGAAATATCCGACACACATTATCGATATATCTGATGTTGTGGAACTGAAAGCATTCTTACTTGATGTTAATTTGATATTGGGCGCAGGTATGACATTATCTGACATGATGGAACTGTTTCTCAAAATGTCTTCTGGGAACGAAAATTTCTCATATTTAAAAGAATTCTACTCTCATATGGATCTAGTAGCACACATACCTGTGAAAAATGTAAGTGCCTCTAAAATTACTTACGCCGACAAGCTTATATGGTACAAGCCAATAGTATAGGAAGGAATAGTTTTTTTTTGCTGAATTTGGGGTTCATAAAATTACAATACCTAATATATCTTATTGATAGTAATTATAGTAATGTATTACTAAATACAGAATATCCACAAAACATATAATTAAATTTCATAATATGCAAAAAATTTCAGATTGGTACAATTGGCGGAAATTTATTTTTGAAATATTCAAATCCCGAGTTTCCATCTGATTTATTTCTACTATTTGAGACCGTTGGAGCCATGATAACAATTGGTAAGGCTTTATTGTATTTTAATTAATTACGAGATATCTTCATACCGTTAAGTAACTTCAGAGGTAAACGAATATATTTACATTAACTTACTACGCCTGAGGCTTTGGTACATTTCTCTCAGTAAAATTGCTATAGTTCCATCAAACTGAACTATGGTTCAAGTTAAATTAAATAATATTTTACTTTTGTTTTTGGAATCAGCAAATAATATTGACAATAGAAGAACGGTCACTCTTCAGGATTTTTTAAAAACTGATATGAAAAGAGAAATTATTATAAATGTTTTGCTACCACCATTATCCAGTAACTGTTTCGTTAGAACTTTTAAGGTAAGGAAATGATAAAAAATAACCATAAAATATAAACAAAACTTTCGAGGAACTGTCCCTCTAGATGAAATTCGCTACGAAACGATTCCATAGCAAGCTTCAAAAATGTATAGAACTGACAATAACTTTCGATAAGTCACGTGTCGCGTGTCAGTTCCATACAACTTTGAAGTTCGCTATGAAATCGATTCGAAACGAAAGCACTTTGTCTAACCACGCTGATAATTTTAGATAATGCCTAGGTCGCAAAATGCACATGCCATCGTCAATGCCGGATTTCTTTTCAATATAGACCCAAACACGAGAACTATTAAGGAAGCAAGTATTGTATATGGTGGTATATCTCCTGAATTTATACATGCACATAGAACTGAGGTAACTCTAGTAGGTAATGATTTATTTACTGACGAAATATTACAACGAGCTTTGACAACATTATCTGAAGAACTCAACCCTGTTGATGCTCCGCCAGAACCATCAGCTGCGTTTAGGAAAATATTAGCAATCGCCTTATTTTACAAGGTATGAACTTCACCATGAAACACATGATATTTTCAGTTTCCTTCGCCCATAAAATGAATTCTTATTTTAAATTTTCAGGCCGTGTTAAACTTATGTCCAGAGAATAAAATAAATCCGACTTTCAAGTCTGGAGGTGAAACGTTAAAAAGAATTTCATCGAAAGGCAGTCAAGTTTTTGATACAGATAAAAGTTTATGGCCATTGAATCAACCAATACCTAAATTGGAAGCTTTAAATCAGTGTAGTGGTGAAGCGACTTTTGCTAATGACTTTCCAAAGCAAGTTGGTGAGGTCTTTGCAGCATTTGTTACAGCTGATGTAAATCCAGGCAGTGTCATAAATGATTTTGATACGACAGAAGCTTTTGTAAGTATACCATAGATGGGAAATAATCTACATGACTTCTAAATATTTAAAAGATATTTTTCATTGTAGAAAATTCCTGGAGTCATTGCGTTCTATACTGCCAAAGATATACCAGGTGTGAATTCGTTTACACCTTTCTACGTACCCCTATTATCTGAAGACGAAGAAATTCTATGTTCGAAAGTAGTAAAATTCTACGGTCAGCCTGTCGGTATTATTGTTGCGGATAGAGAAAAGACAGCAAATAAAGCTGCAGAATTAGTCAAAGTCAATTACACAATAAATCAAAACAAACCACTACTGACGATTGATGACGTTTTAAAATCCGATGAGAAGAATAAAAGAATTGTAATAGATAAAGTAATTGAGCCTACTGAAAAAGGAGATGATGTTAAAGCTGTTTTGTATGGTGAATTTAATTACCAAACACAATATCACTATTATATGGAGCCACAAACTTGTGTAGTAACACCTACGGAAGACGGGCTCGAAGTATATGCTGCAACACAGTGGCTTGACGTTACGGGTATATCTGTAGCTCAGTGTTTAAACATCCCAGTTAATAGGTAAGTGTTTTATTTTCTTACTAGCTCTCGCCCGCGATTCTGTCCACACGGAAAAAAAAGACTTAATACGAGTAAGTAGCCTGTGTGTTCTTACAGACTATGTTCTACATCCTTGCCAAATTTCATCGTGATCCGTAAAGCCATTCCTGAGATCCCTTAAAAAAACATCCATTCATCCATCTAAACATTCGCATTTATAATTTTAGTTAGAAGTTAGATAGATAAATTTAGAAATCGAACGTAAGGTAAACATACAAAGTATGTACATAAATACCTACTCGATAACGCAAAATAGAACATATAAGCTTTTTATATATATCTAAATTACAAGATGCCATAATAATTTTAGAATTCGTTGCGTTATATTTGCTCGTTCACGTACCGACACGTGCTGCCGGTCCAAAGGTCCGACATCGACTGAAGCCCCCTCTCTCCGGCATGTACTTATGACGTGTACGCTCGAGACAAACAATACTACATTTATGCATACACTACAATAATGATAACTATTTTAGAATTCCTGTTTAAATCTAAATGCAATATTGATATGTTTTAAATGAGTCTAAAAACAAACTGAATCCTTTGTACCTGTGCAATATACTTTTTATTCCAGCGTTAATGTAATTGTACGTCGAGTCGGAGGATCCTACGGAGGCAAAATAACCAGATCAGGACAGATAGCTTGCGGTGCGGCCCTTGTGACACACTTGCTTGGCAAAACTTGTCGCCTTATAATGTCACTGGAAACTAATATGAAAATGATCGGAAAGAGAACACCAACGTATTCCAAATTCGAAGTAAGTACAGTGCGAATTAAGTGTTGCAGTAAGATTTCACGGTTGCAAAAACTTTACAAAAACATGCCATCCTTCTTACTATCTTTAACAAAACTGAGATAACAATATGTTTATTTAAAGGTATCAGCAGTGGAAATCCATCGTGTTATTTTGTTGTATTTCCAGGTTGGCATTAATGATGAAGGAGAAATTCAATATTTGAGGAACGTTTTTTATCAAAACAATGGCGCCTCTTGGAACGAGAAAATGACCTATATAGTTTTCAAACATTTCTATAATTGCTATGATTACAAAAGGTGGTATGTAGAAGCTAATGGGTTTATATCTGACTTGCCTTCAAATACATGGTGCAGAGCACCTGGTAAGTAATAACATAATATTAATTACTAGCTGCCGCCCGCAAATCCCTCCAGAATAAAAAAAAAGTTAATTAAATTGTCTACGTGTTCTGCCAGACTAATTTCTACATATTGGCCAAATTTCATCGAGATTCGTTGAGCCGTTCTGGAGATAACTTTAAGCGAAATCCGTCCATCCAAACATTCCCATTTATAATATTAGTAAGATGGATAACATCAAATTAATTATTAAACAGCTGTACTTTTTAGGTTCGACTGAAGGATTAGCTATGATAGAAGAGATAATGGAACGTATTTCTCATCATACTGGTAAAGATCCAGTTCAAGTAAGATTAACAAATATGACCAAAGAAAACAATCCCATACCAGAATTAATTGAACAAATTAAACATGATTCAGATTACGATAATAGGGTTAATGAAATCGCTAATTTCAATAAAGTCAATCGCTGGAGGAAACGAGCAATTAAATTAATGCCGATGACATATGAAATATTTTACGTAGGACCCTATAGCGCATCTGTCTCAGTTTATCATGCAGATGGTTCTGTAATAATTTTCCATGGTGGAATAGAAATGGGACAAGGTATAAATACAAAAGTTGCCCAGGTTTGTGCTTATATTTTAAAAATACCACTTGAAAAAGTCAGTGTAAAAACTAGCAGCACTTTTACATCACCGAATAGTATGACAACAGCAGGCAGTATTGGAAGTGAATGTGTCGCATTCGCAGTAATAAAGGCCTGTGAAACTATTCTAGAAAGATTAAAACCTTTTAAAGATAAAAATGAAAATGCTACATGGAATGAAATTGTAAAAGAAGCATTTCTAGCTGGTGTTCATTTACAAGCTTCTCATATGTATGACACGACAGATACAACATTGAAACCCTATGCGATTTATGGCGTTGTGGTATTAGAAGTAGAGCTTGATCTTTTGACTGGTAACCATGACATACGTCGAGTTGATTTACTTGAAGATACAGGTAGAAGCTTGAGTCCAGAAATTGATATAGGACAGGTGAATAAACCTTACTTTTAGTATTTATTTTCATGACAATTTGAACACAAATGATCAATTATATAATCTTGATCTACCACTTTTAGATTGAAGGTGCTTTTGTTATGGGACTTGGCTATTGGACATCAGAGAACATAATATATGACCCAAAAAACGGCAAAATATTAACCGATAGAACTTGGACGTACAAACCACCAGGACTGAAGGATATTCCTGCAGATTTTAGAATCTACTTTCAAAGGAATTCAAAAAATGAAGTTGGTGTTCTTCAATCTAAAGGTACAACTGTTAAATTAAATTGAATCGAATTCGATTTTTAAAAAAATGTTTTTTTAAACGGTAAAGCTTAATAATAAAATAACGAATTTAAAATCAAAATCCTGTTTAACACTTTAATAGTTACAATTTATTTCACAGCAACTGGTGAACCAGCACTTTGTTTGGCAGCGGTCATCACTCACGCGCTACGAGAAACTATTCGTTTAGGCCGATTAGACGCGGGATATGATGACCATTGGGTCGAATTAGGTACTACGATCAAATAAAAATATATTCATGTTACCCTAGTCGTCGTTGTATTAAACTTGCTCTTTTCTTTTTACAGGACATCCATGCTCAGTTGAAAATATTTTTATGGCTATGGAGCACAAGCTGGAACATTTTAAACTGACGTAGTATACTGTCGTATCTGGATGAGCGCTCCATGGGACTGCGATATATTTCTCGCTTATAAAGGTTTCTTTCTAGCCGAAGTTTCTCATCGGTCAGTGCTGTATTATGATTCTCGCTCATCCAGGTTTGACAACAGAAGAATTAAAAAAAGGAAACATTAGAAAACAAAAAAATCAAATTGTTTTACTGACAATCTTTTAGCAATTATTTTTTTTAAATATACTAATTTTTCTTTTACCATTCCAACTAAGCTCTAGGCTAGGATATGGTTTACGACAGTAGTCGAAAGTCGGGATTCGAACCCCCGACCTCGTGATCTGAAATCCGTACCCTTAACCATTAGGCTATTGACGCTAATTAAATGTACTGTTTTAAAAAGACTCCATTTTTGATACAGGCAAATTGCTAGAACAAATTGACGATTAGACCAATTAAGTATTTTTGAAATAAATACTTCTCTAATTGTATAAGTGTTTTTGGGTTACGTATATCTTTTTAATCTGTCTCTAAACGTTACAAAATCTTTACCAATAATATTGTAATAGTTTTTTTTCTGTGTATTATTTGTAAATTGATTCAATAAAAATTAAATTAAAAAATATATGTTTACTTATTTTTCGATTAAAATCTATTGCTTCATACCTTATTTACTTGTTTGTTTTGTAGAAAATCGAAACAATTCTGTTTAAATATTCAAAGGTCCCTCCCCAGTTGTTTGTCACTTTGTTTCAGTTTAAACAAGCTACAACTTCGTACTATTATGTTATCAATTATTAAACTATAAAGAACTTAATAATTATGGTTTTATTTTCAATCAACGGTAAAACATATTCAAGTGCTAGCAATCGCTCGCGAATTTGTCTGCGCGGAATAAAAAAAACTTAATTAGTGGTCCATGTGTTCGTCCAGAATATGTTCTATATTTGTGCCAAATTTCAGCGTAATTAATGCAGCCGTTCTGGGAGACCTTCTACCAAACATCCATCCATCCATCTATGTATACTTTCGCATTTATAATATTAAATAAAATAAAGTAAGGGTAATTTGAGATGGCTATATTTTTTATACATGTATTTTGAAAATGGAAACTCACGATTTAAAATATGGCAATTTCATTATTAACTGTCATTAGCAACATCATTTTTGAATACTTTCTTTTATTGGTTTTGCAGATTTGTTCACGTTTTTTACTAATTAAGGATAGTTCTTTTCCATGATAGGTATAAAGGCAACCTACTTTTTACTCTAATTACGATATAGTGACGTACATTTCCTCCACCATAGGTTTGTAGGCGTATCGCGTACATATGAAAAGAAAAGTGTTAATTTTTTTTAAGAATTTAGTTATATGACGAAAAAAAAAGTTTTATATGAAAAACTTTAAGTACACGAAAGTTTTAAACTAAGACTAAATATAACAAAATATTGATAATTATTTGTTTAATTTTAACGGCATGATGAAATTAATTTGCAGTTGTCATCGTCTTTAGCTACTATTTTTCTGAAAGCATCTTAATTAATTAAAACTTCAAGTTACTGTTTATCCTATATATTTATTACGATTATTACTTACTTTGTACCCAACATAAGATTTTCTCGAAGGCGCGAATTTTAAAAATATTTTATTTTCTTTAAAAATATATAGTGAATTTTGTTGACGACTGTACCTTATTCCACGCCCTAGGAAAGCGCTGCAACCGCGGTCAAGTAATCCGACAGCTGCCTTCGTTTGCGGACTTTGTCGTGTAAGTGATTTTTTTATCCCTTAATTAGATAATATATATATATCTGTCTTTTTATTTAGTAGTATTTGATACGTTCCAATTAGTTTTTTTTTAATTATCTTTAACTTATTTTAAAACTTCGTTATTAACCTACGTAAATTTTCCAAAATGAACAGTTAAAAATTATTAGATGTAACACTTTGTTGTAAATAAATAAAAAATACATAAAATTACAAAAGGACCTTTGAGAAAATTGTTAAAAAATCTCTTTGTTTAGGTAATTTCAATACTGTACTTTAACAATAAAATGATCTATTTAGCTACGAAAAATCCAAAATAAATTCAATAATTAATCAAATCTTATTTTGGTCTTATGAGCCCTTTCATTAAACCTTTCCAATTTTAAATTTAAATCCAAAATCAAAAAGGTTTAATGGTTGGAGGAGGTCTATACTAAGAAAAGAGTCCAAATATTGGTATAAAAAAAGTCAGAAAAAAAAATCGATTTTAGATTTTTCTTTCTTTATAATTTGCCTAACAATGACATAGTGGTCTGTGACGTGGGTGTCTATTAAACCCCTGCAATGATAATAATTTGCCGTGCGAACCTTACAACCTGCAAGAATAACCAGCTTGCCTTTTCCATCGATTTCAATCCTATTCTATGATTATCTCTAATCGCTTAATTACATTTTTCCTTTTATGTGATTCGTGTGACGTCATCGTCAGTTTTTCGAATTTCCAATTTTAAATTACACTACACAATTTGACAAGATTTAAAAAAAATTGTACCTTGAAAAATAGCATAAGTATTTTTAGTATCCATCCTAATAGTTAAATTTTACTTTATACAGCGTGTCCCAAAATTCAAAAAAGCTGGTACCCGGTGTATCGCCAGGTCGATAACTATATGGTGAAAAATAATATAAAAATCCAACTTATTTTTTTTAAACATACACTAACTTTTTTTAAATTTCTTGTAATTTGATACCCTACGCCAGTCTTTCCCAAAGTGGGCGATAACGCCCCCTTGTGGGCGTTAACCCATTTACTATAGTCAAAACCTAGCTTTTTAAACTATGGAATCTTATATATAAAATTCTCGTGTCACTGTCAATTACCATACTCCTCCGAAACTGTTTGACCGATTTTTATGAAATTTAAATGCATATTCAGTAGCTCTGACAATTGTCAGAGCTACTGAATTCCATATAACCAATTGGTTACTATCTTGTTTTTAATCTCGTGCAGACTAGATATTTGCCCCAGAGCGTGAACTATAAAACAATGCAGCTTCCGAAGCATATGAAAATCGCAGCAGGATCCCTTGGAGCGGCAATATTCGGCGTGCTTTTTGGATGGGTCATATTTCCTATTGTGTTAAAGAGTCAATTAAAAAAGGTGAGTTTTATATGCAATCTCTTAAATAACTAAGAATACTTCTTTCTCAGCCATAAGTCGCCCACTGCTGGGCATAGGCCTTCCCCAAAGATCGCCACGATGACCGGTCCTGTGCTACCTACATCCAGGACGCTCCCGCAATCTTTTAATACTACCTTTGTTAAATATTAATTAAAATAAATTGTAATGTTTGTATACAGTAAATTAATGTTAATAATGACAAAGCTTTGAACTTAATAAAAAGGACGAATCCCTTTTTATAATAAGGTACATGAATACGAACATATTAGAAAACGTAATTTCAAAACACATTAAGAATTTTTAATGTGAGTTTCACTTTAAACTTATGTTTTGGTACATATTTTTAACAAAAACGTAAAAATATTGTAGCAAAAATTGAAATTATAAATAAATTTTAGTAGATTTACTTTTAAATATTTTATACGAAATTAAATTTCAAAAATATGGTTACAAAAATTTCTAAAACAACCTAATTTTACAATATACAATATTTTTATCTTAACAAATTAATAAAAAGTTGATTTTTCTTAAATAATGATAAATATACATCGAAAGGGTAATTAAAACGCAATACACAATTTCCCTCGACGTCCAAATACTGTTCCCGCAAGGTTAATATTGGCTACACATTTTAATTAAGGAGTAGAAAGAGCAATTAAAGCGAATTACGTCTATACCATCGGTTGAGATTAATTGAAACTGACTGCCAATTCCGCGATATTTTTTAGCACCACAAAATATTTCACGGTAACTTTGCTTATATTCAAATTTGGAACGTATAAATTAAGAAAAAGAAGAAAACTGCCATTATTTTTCCTCTCAATCACTCTCTTTAAGAAACAAAAGAAGTGTAAGAAGCAAAAAGAGAAGTATGAGACAAAATGCATTCGAGCGATTTTAATAGCGAACTTCAAAAATGTATGGAACTGACGCGCCACAATCACGTGACTTATCGAAACTTTTTGTTAGCTCCATACATTTTTGAAGCTCGTTCTGGAATTGATTCAGAGTGAATGCAGTTTGTCAAACCCCCTGAACTTTAAATATGAATATGGAGGGATATACCTGCAGAGGAGCCTGAGAAATGATTGATTTATTCCATGAAAATAACAAGAAGAATGAGTTGTCACAACTGAAATAATCTATTTGGAGGATACAACCCTGTTGTACTAACTGCACATTCTTCTTCGTTTTCTTCATTACTGAAGGTCGTGCTTGTCTTGATATGCTTTTACGGCTGTGTCGACCAGCTGCCTCCACGCCGTCCTGTCTTCGGCTTGTCTCAGGGCAGTCGTGATATTAAGTCCCAATATAGCCTGCACTTGATCGGACCAGCGGGTAGGTGATCGACCCCGTGACTATCTATCTTTCCAACAACAACC